CGGTCTGCTTAAAAGAATGAATAGTAACGAAAAAAAAAACAGCATTTTTCGCAACTCGTCTGAGCGCCTCGACAAGTACCTATAAAGACAAGTGGACTTGCCAAGTGTACCAAAAAAATTCGGTTGTCCTTTCCAAATTCAAAAAGTAGCAGCAGAAACAGAAAACTGAAATTAGAATTAGAGGCTGTTCGGGGGGTTAAGCACCGTTCGCAAGAATCTAGAACGGTGATAGAACAAGTTCCAAAGCCACGTCCCACGCGCAAGCAGTTCTGCGCAACCTAAGGATGGTCTAAAAATTATTCTAGAACAGTCCTGAAATAAGAGGTGTTTTCTCAAGGATCCTAAATGCTTGTATAGGTTGTCTGAGCTGGGACTCTGTAACGAATAGAGACATTTTCTCTATCTCTATTGACGTCTTCTCTCTATTGATTTCGACAACAAAGGAGAAGACAGCAAGTGCCATAGCGATAGGGATAACGATCTCTATCCGTTACAGAGTTCCAGCCCTGATAACTTTTATGATGTCTATGCCTAAACATAATGCATTTGCATTATTTTTATATGTTATTTTATGTTATGCCAATCAATGAACTATGCATATGGATATTTATCCATATAAACCACCTGATGACGTCATCTGTTTGCTATTATACCAGACTACCTATACAAGCATTTAGGAACCTTGGTGTTTTCTCGCGCCTCAAAGTTTTGAAAAATTTTTCGAAACTGGTTTAAAACAGTTTCATAATGACGTCATAACTTCTCGGCGCGAGACAATGGTTTGAGAACGTGGTTTGAATTGTATTTCGAAACGGTTTGAACCAATTTTGTGTGACGTCATGGGTTTATCGGCAGAATACTATTTCAAACCTGTTTTGAACCAGTTTCAAGAAAAGTGAACGCGAGAAAACAGCTCAGATTTTTTCAGATTCGTGGAATTACTGCTCTAGAACTGACTGGAGTAAGCACAGTCAAAAACAACACGTTCCGGCTTCGTTGAACTAGCCTGGAACCGTTCCATTTTTTTCTTTAAGCAATTCTCGACTGGAAAATGTATAACGAACTGAAATTGGAATTAGCGGTTTTTCGGGTTATTTACCGATCACAAGAATTCTAGAACGGTGATAGAACAGTTATAATTGCACGTTCAACGCGCAAGCAGTTCTGTGCAAATAATGGATGGTCTAAGAACTATTCTAGAACAGTCCTGAAATAGGAAGTTATAAGAACTCGAATAAAGCCTAGTACTCATAACTGCGAAATTCGCATTTTTTTGACATTGCGTTGACAATTTGACGTTTCATGCGTGTATCAAACGTCAAATTGTCGAAGCAATGTCAAAAAAATGCGAATTTCGCAGTTATGAGTACTAGGCTTAAGCATAGAAGGGTTTTTCAAAGATACTGTTTATCTTTTTAATTTATTATTAATTTACGTTGAGTACATTACGGGCAAAAAGCTCGCTCGCTCATTGAAATCAGGACATATGGAGCACAAAAATTGCCCAACCAAATGCACTAGAGCAGGTTCGGAGTGGCAACGATGGAAGAAATGGATGAAATGACTACACTCTGGTGCTCCAAACAACTGTTGTTTCACTGGAACGCACCCTACTTTGAACTTCGTGTTTCTGATGCACCCATAAAATTGCTGGTGCTTGAGAGGGTAGGGGAGAGGAAAAACGAAAAGTTCAGATGCGCGAAACTCTAATGCACTGGAACGCCTATTAACAGCCCGGGACGCTCTAGAGCAGCTCAGAAGTACTTGAAGTGCGTCACTGGAAAGCGACTCTGGACGAACCTTCCTCCTTACTCTATATAACTAGGAGGGAAAAGGTGTTGCTTATTAGTTTGTTGCAAGTAGATGTGCTTTTCTCATTTGCATATGGTGATCCATCTTTTTCAATCAGTTTGAAATGTTTGGGATTAATTTCAACTTTTATCTGATTCATATTACAAACTTCAACAATTGCAAATTGGAACTTAGAGCCCAAAATATCAAAAATCTCGTAGATTTCGTGGTTATCGAACACAAACAAAAACCTAGAACAAACTTAAACGCAAGGATAATAAACACTACTACTAAAGGATAGCTTATCCTCATATAAGGCCTGTGTAGATCAAATCTAAAGCCCCCAACACGCCAAAGAAGCAGTCATGACGTAGGTAGCGTGTCGTTTCTCGCCTTGACGTAGCGTGTTTACACAACAGGTTATGATTCCGAGGGCTTTTGCTTTATGCATACTTGGTTTTAGTACATTAATTAATATTCTAAAACAAAGCTTTTTTAGATCTTGTTTGCATCTCCCTCTTTGCCTATTATGTTAATCGAAATTAAATAATATTTTTCATCATAAACGTATATTCTAAAGTACGACTGCTGGCGCAAACAGCTGAAGACGTAGTTGATGACGTTGTCAATCGTATTACACAATATGGCCGTGATTCCCAAAAACGAGGCCGATTAGCAATCCTTAGTAGTGTGTATTATACAGCAGGTCGCTTCGGGCGCGCTCCTTGTGCACACTTACCCAAGGATAATATACACTACTAAGGAGTGCTTATCGGCCTCGTTTTTGATAATCATCGCCATATTGGTGTATCACCATTGCCGACGTCATTAACTAAGTCGTCAGCTGTTTGCGCCAGCGGTCCTCGTTTAGAATTTAAATTTATGATGAAAAATATGATTTAATTTTGATTAACATAATAGGCAATGCCAAAGAGGAAAGTGCAAACAAGATCTGAAAAGGAGTTCTTTTAGAATGTTATTAATGTAGCAAAACCAAGTATGCATAAAGCAAAAGCCCGCGGAATCATAACCTGTAGTGCAATTAGCCTATGTCAAGGCGAGGGACGACATGCTGCCTACGTCACAACTGGTGATTTGGCATGGTGGGGGGCTTCAGATTTGTTCTACTTGAGCCTTATGAGGCTAGGCTATCCTGTAGTAGTATGTATTATCCTCGACACCAACCTACATTTGAAACGCTTCAAGCATTGGAACCGGTAAAGCCGAAGTCAATATTAGGTCTGTTTCTGTCAGAGTGAATTTCATTGGTTGAAACTAGTTTTTTGACTGTTTCCAACCAATGAAATTCGCTCTGACTGGTTTGTGATTTCTGCAGAAACAGACCTATTATGAATGCATTTGGGAGAATGGGTTTCTGGAAGCGCCGGGCGTTCTTTTATGAACGTGGTACCCCCACAGGGGTGCGTTCACAGTTATCAACCCAAATTTTACGTTTCACCGGTTAGTTTAATGGGCGACGCACGCTAATTGATCGTCGTTCACAGTTGTCAACCCATTAAAAGCAAGCCCCGCCTTCATGTTTGTCTTTTAACCTCTTCCAAACCTATCTTTCTGGAAATAGTTCCTCGTTCTCCATAAGTTAATAATTTAAAATTGTTTTTATGTAAAAAAAAAATGGATCGGGGTACCTATTGCTTTTTTCTTGAACGACAATTAATGAATCGTTGAGCAACAGCAATACAATTTTTCCATTGTCAGATAAAATGGGACTGGTTATCCGCATCCACGATAAAGAATTGGGAATGGGTCGAGATATTTTCCATTTTTTGAAATATTTAGTTTACAAAACAGTTTGAACTGTTTAGACCAAGTCAATAATAGTTATTTGTTAGTTTATGTTGTTTTGTTGTTGGACATTTGAACCTTTTGAAAGTTTACACACATTGCGCAGCCGCGACAAATCTTCACTATCTATTTAGTGGGTGGAAAAGTTGTTCGCCGTACGAATTTTCACTTGAACTGTGAACGCGGACAAATTTTACCCGGCTAGAACTATGAACAGTCTTGACGAAGCCGGGCGTCGTCGGGCGATCGCACGGCGATAACCGTAAACGCACCCCAGGGGATTCGTTCAAAAACGTGGTCGATGCCGCACAAAAAATATTTTCACGAGAAAACTGGCAAAATGGCTAATGCGAGTCATGCGAGAAAAATATAGGCCGTTCTTCGCGAGCATACTCGAGTATGCTGGATTATGTGATGTGTCAATTGTGTCATACTCCCTTAATTCTTGCACCATCAAATTTTATGATACTCGAGAATCAAGAACACTTAATTTCTCCTATGAGAACAGACCGAAAATCACCTTTTCCACATTTGAAATCGACGAAAAAATTAACTCACTAGCACAGCTTGAATCGTGAGCATTCCATCGAGGTCTGCGGGTGACGTCTCACTATAAGCTGCTGATAGTGACGTCACTCGCAGGCCCAAAATTTGATGAGGAGGGAGTTATGGGGAGTATGACATATCAACATGGCTCATCTTGTTACTTGCCATTTAATATAGGTACTGCAGAACCTAACAGTTTTTTTTGTTGCTCTTTTTGTTTAATTTTGTTTTAATTGCATGTGTGTGTTTAACCGTTGGTTTAACTCTTAGGGTGCATTTATGTTGGAGCTTCGATGAACGATAAGAGTAACGATATCTACTAGCGAAGCGGAGAAAATTATTTCATTGGTTTGTACTAAGGTGTCTGTAGGAGCGACCCATTAAGACAAGTTTCCAATGAAATTTAAATTTTCGCTGGTCTTGTCGCTGCTCTCATCGCCGCTCCTATCGTTTATCGCAGCTCCAACATAAACGCACCCTAACACCGGAGCGAGTAGCTCGAGTGTTCCATACTCTTGGAAGGAACACAACTAATGACAGTTTAACTGCCTCAATGCAAATCAAAAACCATCCTACTACAATCAGAAAAGCAATAAACTCATATTTTAGGTCTGTTTCTGCAGAAATCACAAACCAGTCAAAGCGAATTTCATTGGTTGAAAACAGTCAGAAAACTAGTTTCAACTACAGTGGCTAAATAAACCTTTACATGCAGTAGCGACAATAAAGGTCCCGCCGCCATTTTATTTCCAACCTCTTGTTACTTTTAAATATTAATATATAGGATTTAAATGGACATCTATCATAAAAAATTGAAATCGACGTATTTGATGACTATTATTAGGTCCATCAAATACGTTGTTTTCCATGTTTTATGATGGATGTTCACCTAAATCCCATATATTCAGATTTGCAATAAGCAATAGGTGGAGACAAGATGGCGACGTTTGCAATAAATATATGGGATTTTAGAACCAATCAAAAATAGGACAGCAATTGTCGTCACTGTGGGTAATAGAGTTCACTGTAGTTTCAACCAATGAAATTCACTCTGACTAGTTTGTGATTTCTATAGAAACGGACCTATATAATAATCCAATTTAACACTCCATAGAATCATAGTTTTTATAAGCCAAGAATTCCTAAAACGAAAAACGAACCATGACATCCAATTCTAGTCGAAGCTCCTCACAAAGTTCTCAAATGAGCGACAGCGACTACAGCGAGACTGAAAGTTTTAACGAATATGAACCAGATATTCCTGAAGACTCTGAATCAGAAAAAATGTGCTGGATTTGCCACGCCTCCGACGAAGAATACCCAGGAGCTGCTTGGGTTCATCCATGTATGTGTCGAGGAACCGCAAAATGGGTAAGAACCATCAATACCTACAATTTTTCTTACTGCTGGAATCTCAAAGTTTGATGTTGTTCCAATAAATGCTATTTTAGAATAAGAGAAAAAAACAATTTGTCTGTGTCTATGAGTAACCTATATGCAAAAGGTTCGTTGGATAGGCAAGTACGGTACATCAAATGAAAATCGAAAGTTTTGTTCAGCCGAATAAATCTGCTACTTTGGCATGGATGGGGCCCAAGTTTGTCAGAGTGCTTGCCATGCTTGAAACTGATTTTTGGATGCTTGGTTTTGTTTGATGATTTTTATTTCAACAGCAGATTCATTTACATCATTAACTAGCCATTGGAAAGATTTTCGAACTCCCGTCAAGTGGTTTTCATTTCCAGAAAATGCTGATCATGATAGCATCTAGAGGGTTCAGTACCCAGCATGAATGTGGTATGAATGAAGCCAGGAATCTGAAAAATAATGATTTTTATGTAAAAAAATCAAAAAACTGTGAATTTTTGAATTGCGAATAATGTGTTGGGCTATGAAGTATTTCTACCTGCAAATATATTAAAAGAAACATGTCTATTTTGTAAAGTCCTTTATTTATTTAATTTTGTATACGGAAGCACTGTTCTATACGGTATTAAGGCGGACTTTGAGGGTCATTCTTTTTGGTAAACCTCGGTTAAACCCATCACTCGAGTAGATGTGTAGTGTATTTTGGCACTGTATTTCGTATTGTATTTTTTTTTGTGAATCGTAAAGCACCTATTTTTGTTGACTTTAATATCCTATTATTTTTAGTTCCTATAACTACCCTATTGTCGCTTATGAAATTGACTTAATTTTTTGTTGGGAGCACAATTTGAAAATTAGCTCAAATAAAACTGAAGTTCTTCTATTTTGTAATAGGAATCACCGGAGCTGGCTTCCAGATCGGTTGCAACTTCAAATTGAAGGGGAAGTTTTGGGCTTCTCTGACTGTGCCAAAAATCTTGGGCATCACGGGTTTCATAAACATGGTCGGAGTCTACTGCACAACAGTTATGTTAAAATGAAACTCTTACATTCAAATAGTTATATATTAAATTATAAACTGAGAAAGAAAATGCGTTTACTGCTCTTTTTTTTGTGCCATAGATGACTCTTTCGACAGGGGTTCTTTCCCCAGTTGCTTGAAATCTTCACTGGTCATTCCGATCCATAAAGGAGGTAACATAAATATAATATCAAATTACAGACCAATATCTCTTCTTCCAACATTGTCAAAGGTTATTGAAAAGATGAAACGAATGTGGAGCTACCTCACCAAATACAAATTAATCACTCCAAAACAATACAGATTCCAAGCCGCTAAGAATACTCATGATGCTATTTTTAATTTCCTTGAAAAAGTCTATTCCAATTCTTAATCGTGGTGAAGCTGTCGTGACAGTATTCTGTGACCTATCAAAAGCATTTTACTGCGTGGATCAGGTAATATTGCTGCGAAAGCTAGAGCGTTATGGGTTTCTTGGACAGGTCCAACAATGGTTCAGATCATACCTAAGCTATCGTAATCAGTCAGTCGTCTACTTGGACATGCATTCTTCTTCCTTAGAGTTAATTGTGGGGTACCACAGAGGTCTGTTCTGGGCCCTTTATTATTTTTAATTTACATCAATGATGTTACTTGTCTCAAAATTTCAGGTCTATTTACTTACTCTATTTGCAGACGATACTTCTGTAGTATAGCACCACAAATACGTTAATATCCTAAAAACCACTATATCTGAAGATCTTGTTAAAATAAAAAGTTGGTGTGATGCTAATGGCTTGTGCTTTAATGTAAATAAAACAAACATCTTAGGCTTCAAATGTGACTTAAAACATATAAATTTGGGAGATGATCCAATTCAGAACCCTAAAGTTAATAAATTCCTCGGAATTCACATCGACAATGAGTTAAAGTTTGAAGACCACTTTATGAAATTAAGTAAAAAACTTTCCTCTGGTTGCTTCGCAATACGATGCTCGAGATCTAAACTGAGCGAGAATGTGATAAGGACAGTATACTTTTCCTTATTTGAAAGTCATCTGAAGTATGGAATTCCATTGTGGGGTGCAACGAGTCACTACTTATTGGGAATGCTTCTCACTTTGAAGAAGAAGGCTGTGAGGTTCCTATGTGACATAAATCAGAGAGGGTATCTCGCAAACCTTATTTTGTAAAACACAAGATCTTAATAATACCATCTCTCTCCATACTGAAAACTTCCAGTGTGGTTTTTAAAAATTACAGAAATGCCAGTTATAGATCTCAAAGGTCCACACGACAGTGCGGTTATTTGCCTTTGCCTTTGCCTATACCAAGGAGCAGTCTTGTCCAAAAATCTCTTATCTATGAAGGAAGAAATTTTTTTAATCATTCGCCATTAGTAATTAGACAGGCCGCTACCGTTAGGGTGTTTAGGAGAAAACTAAAAATTGCGTTATCAGAGACCATACTACAGTATCACTGAATATTTTGATGACCAGTTGTGATATTTGTGTTGCTATGTTTGTAGTGTCTAACCGTTTACTCAGTTATTATGTAAAACTTTCTGTACATTTTTTTGGATTCTTTTATAGATATTAATGTGACTATTATATTAGCTTCAATGACTTTGTACCGATTACCTTATAGCCTGCTTTGTCGACTAAATTATTGACAATAAAGTACTTTTTGAATTGAATTGAATTGAGTGAGACCCTTATCATGTCTATTTATAGTTACTGTTATATTAGGTCTGTTTCTGCAGAAATCACAAACCAGTCAGAATAAATTTCATTGGTTGAAGAAACTAGTTTTCTGACTGTTTATGATTGTTTTCAATCAATGAAATTCGCTCTGACTGGTTTGTGATTTCTGCAGAAACAGACCTAAAGTCTATTATACCTTTTTAGATGTTGTCAAGGAAGAGAGTGCAGTTTGTATAGAACACATATTGTAGATTCATATTTGGTCTAAGGAAGTATGATTCGGTGTCAAACAACATTAGGCAACTTGGTTGGCTGAGATGTGATAATATGTACAAACTGCATTCTATGACATTTTTCAGGAAATTGTTAGATACTAGATTACCAGTACTCATACCTTTACCAAAAGTTGGAGCTTAGGGCTAATGTACATGGTAATTTAAGGGATCTAAATTGCTCTGAAATACCAATAAAAATTAAGTTCATCTAAACTGTTTTGTGCTTTATTTCTGTATATTGTAGGGGTGTGGTGGTAGTATGTAGGATGTAAGTTGGGTATATCTTTATGGTGACATACTGTGGGGTGTCGATGGTTGAGTGGAAGAATGGCTAATGTTCAAACTTCGCCATCCACGCCATGGGTGTGCATATTACACAATTTATTTCTCGATTTATTTATAATTATTGAACAATTTGTATATTTTAGGTACATCACTCTTGTCTTCAACGATTAGTAGTTCAACAGTTTCTGGAAAACATATTTAGAGGAATAGGTGGTGTTTACTGCCCACAATGCCTTACACCGTACATTGTAAATTACCCTGTAACAAGCGCTTTGGCATTGAGACTTATGGAAGCGAATGCTTGGTATAATCAGATAAGCCTTCGTATAGTATTCTTTTTTTTTATGTTTGCATATTATTGGTTCGCTGTCACCTATGGTGCCATTACGGTCTTGCAGGTGAGACAATTTGCCAAATTTAGTTTTTTTCAAAAATAGCTTCTTCATAGGTTTTAGGTCTAGAAAAATGCAGCGCAATGTGGGGACAAGCATCCCTGCTAACAGTATCTGTAGCAGTAGCACTACTACCAGTCATTCCATTAGCCTTGATTTTGGCGAAATATTATGTCCGTTGGGAAAGCGCCCTTCTACGGATTATCAGAAAAACTATCAACAAAACCCCCTTCATTCGAACTTTTTCATCTGTTAGGTAAGTTTGTATAAAATGACACATACATAAAGATTACTTCAACTATTCTAGACCGTATATGGCTACAAATATAAACGGAGATGATGATTTTCCTCCAATTAATAATAGGTCAGGTCCAATTGCTACAATAACTTGTGGAGCATTAGCGTTACCAACCATATCGGTATATTTTGGAAAATTCCTGTTTAAATTTGTGGAATCCGAATTTTACAAGACCATATTAGGAGGGCTGACATTCCTGGCCCTGAAAGGTTGTTTAAATATGTATCGTTATCAGCAAAACTATGTCATAGTGAATAAACGTGAAATTTTAGACTTTGACCTCGACTATGACGAAATGGATCTCGAAGAGAGTCAAGAAAGTGAATAATTTTCATTTGTCAAAAAAAAAAAATTGACCTTAGTATGTCCTGTAAAGCACACAACTCAAATTTTTGTGGCATATACAAGGTGGCGCAAAATGAACGTTATGATTGTTTTATAACTTTTTTATTTAAGTTTTAATAAAAAAGTTTTTTTTTGTAAAGAAAACTTGGGGAATTTAAACTGGAACAATACACCATACAACAACGAACAAAAATCATTAAATTTTACTTTGCCAATGGAAACTCAATAATTGTTCTTACGCAGCGTGCATATCGTCGGTATTTTAATGTGCGTGTTAGACCCTCCGTGCCAACAATAAATCGTCTGGTTGCAAATTTTCAGCAACAAGGTTCAGTAAGGAACCTCCGTGGTGCCAGAAGACCACGTAATGAAATCCGTGCCATAACTTCTGAAATTTTGCAAAAAGTAATGCAACATTGTGTTGGAAAGAGCACGACTTTGCGAAGCAGAAAATGGCAGATACTTTTCATACTTTCACATTTGTGTCAAAAATTTTCTCCATTCATAAACTGTGTTAAAAAAAATTATTAACAATTCACTTAAAAATAAAAAAGTTATTAAGCATTCAAATCATAACGTTCATTTTGCGCCACCCTGTATCTGAATTTTTAATAATTTTTTTCCTTAAATTTCTTGGACCTATTTGTTTGATGATTCTCACCTTATCTTATTAAAGCTTGTTGTCTTTTATGTTGAAAAAATACTATTATTATTTGGGAACCAATTGTATTACTTGTTAATTGAGCTGTTAATTCATAATCAAATGTTTTATAGGACAAGCTCAGCGCCCTGTTTGACTAATGTTCTCTATTTCTATGTTGTATATCATACATAATTATATATTTAATCCATATGTTACAAAGTTAATTAAAGTTCCTTCTGTTAATAATATTTGTAGTTTCAATTTCATGACTGGCGTAGCTATTAATCATTTGTGAACAAAAAAATAGCAGTCCTATCATTGTTTCTCTTTTTGAAAACGGAAGAGCAGCCTAATATTTAATAAAAGGCCATAAAAACCAACTAGTTTCTATACAGGGTGTTTTCTAATTGAATATCAATATTTAAGGGAGAGCTTTTTGGGTCCATTTTCAGAAGAAACATTCATATGGATGTATGTCCTAAAAGTCTTAAGTTTTGAGATACAGGGTGATAAAGATTTCAAAAATAAATCATTTATTATTAATATCAGTAAAGCCCACTTTAGATAATATCAAGGATAATATTTTAATGAAATTTAGCATGCATGTTCTATGTATCAAGAGGCATTTTTTAATGTATTCCTACCACATTTTTTTTTTCAAATTTCCATTAGTTGTATTCGTACGGAATTCGACCTGCCTATTTTGGGAGGCATTGATGGTATGCAACTGATTTGTCTCAAAATAAAAATTATTCTTTGAATACCCAATCATTTCTGGGCAAAGTTTTTCACTTGATTTTTTCGAGGATTTTACAATCCGATACGAAAAAAGTAAAGTCTATTTCTCTGCATGGTGAGTTGACGATATTGTTATGATGATGCAAAGAAACGGTTTTAATTTTTTTAAGCGAACCGTGCATCGGATTGTGAAATGTCAAGTGATCAACTTTGCTTGGAAATGAGGATTTTTATTTCAAGAGAAATCAGGGGCGTACCATCAATGTCTGCGAAAATAGGCAGGTCGAATTCCATACGAACGCCACTGGTGGAAATTTTTAAAAATGTTCATTAAAAAATGCCTCTTGATACATAGTAAACATGATGTATGCCAAATTTCATTAGAATATCCAAAGTGATGTTACAGGATAATGATAATTTTTATTTTTTTTTGAAATGCTTGTCACCGTGTATCTCAAAAGTTAAGACGTTTAGGGCATACATTCATATAAAGTTTTCTTTTCATAATGGACCCAAAAATTGCCTCCTCAAATATTGACAGTTATTTGGAAAACACCCTCTGTATAAGCCTGTTCTTCGTCCACTAATAAAGGGACCGCTATGTATACAGCTCTAATAATTTGATATTATTTTTTCTCTGTAGTAACAAAACATCTGGCCCAATGTAACTATACTAACGGCACCAACCAATCTGTAACAGGTTTCGCCCTAATTAGATATAACTAAAATGCTTATGGATAACTGGAAGAGTTGAGTTTTTCCTATTTCCCTATAATAAAATATTTCCTTGTCTTCATGGTTCAAAAGTTTCATTTTTTGTAATATTTTTCGCTGAAACAAATTTATTATGAAAAAAATCATTTGTTTTGATTTGCCTTAAGATAGCAGTTTTGCTGACACAAAATTAATGTTTAAATTACCTTCTACAGGTAATTTTCATTTTTGCTGCAATCAGTTTCAGACTATATCCAAAGATATTCCCAAGAATACTTACATGTTTTTTGTATCTATCCAGTGATGACCCAAAAATAATTAATAAAGAAGAAATCTCAAGATAAACATGAATGAAACGGACCATACACAAAAACATTTCCTTTTCTTTTTCATTCGCAAAATTTTCATAGATTGCAAGAAGTACATTATTTTTTACCTTTTCACATGTTCAATCTTGTTAATCCAACACTTCATGAAATAAACAATCCAAAATATACACAAAACAATCACAAAATGCTATTGCAAAATATTTATTCGGGGGTGGGTCCCAAAATTCTGCGAATTCCAAAGTTCCACCCTGTGTTCAAGAGGTCTACTACCGAAAAATGCAGTCAAATTTCCCGCCACAGAAAAAACATTTTCCCGGTAAAAAATTCAAATGTTTTTTTTTTTTATTTATAATCTAACCGTAAGTCACTGAATATTTCGAGACAAAGCCAATAGAAACACGATTTTCTCAGTCTTGTATACTCCGCGATACTGCTCTAGCTGCTTTCAGGCAAGCTTTCCGACAAAAACAAAATGTGAACGTTCTTTCAGGACCTTTAACCCCCTATTGGCCAGACAAGGATGGAAGTTGTCATGCGTGTACAACTGAAAACAAGAGCTTTAAATTTGAATATCCATTGTTCCATCTCCATCCATCTCTCCGCAGGCGGATGAACCAATGCGCAGAACTTCTATAAAATTCCCAATTGGCATCATTTTGTATTTTATGCTCGGCTGATAGATGGTGCTAGAAAGTAGATGGCACTACATTTACTGTAGATGGCATCAGTGAGCTGCTTAGTAGGCGGATAGTCCAAGAGCCTGATCGAAAACTATGAAGATTTGTTACGACAAAATTGAGAGATATTGCAAATATGGCTCAATTAGGACAAAGTCTTGACAGTAAAAGCTTCTTATAGTGTACAGAGTACAACGATAAGGAAAAAGTAAAAAATATCTTATCTAAACTAATGGTGGGTTTAAGCAGACATATATAATAAGCTGTGACATAACATAAGATAAGATTATTTTGTACCGTTTATAGAGACACATAACATATGAGAAATAAATTTCAACCAATCATCTGAGTCAATTGTCAATGCGCTCCACATGTTGCTGTTTTGTCAAATTCTCAATAAAACATGTGCAGAGCTATTTTCACAGAAAATAGGACATTAATTAAAGTTTACCAACTTTCTTATGTCTTATGTTATGTTATGCTATTTCGTGTACAAACTTAAACTACATAAGGGATTTCCTTCCATAAGGTCAACTTTTTATCTTATGTCATGTCTTTAATGTGCTTTAATGTTATGTTAGTGTCTGTATAAACCCACCAAGAATCTATAATAGGGCGTTGATTTTATTTGAAAAATGGTGCACATATACAAGAGAAGGCCGAGCAGAATAAGATATCGGAACTATAGTAAAGAAACCCTTCAATATTGCAGCTACCTCAACAGTCAAATGTTGAGGAACATTATTGCAGAACATGAAATTCCTTCTATAACTTTTATCACAGCTTAAATGCAGAAAAGTGAAAGGTATACATACAAAATCAGTTGAGGGTCAAACCATGTCCATTGACAAAGGGTTTATTTTTTAATGACTTAGGTACCATACCAAATCTTAATCCCTTAAACCCCTTACAGAGTGACCCAACACTTTGATTAGCTTCATTCGTACACACAATTTTTACAAACTTCTTCAAGGAAACTCATCCCCCAAAGACTCGATCGAACCTTACTTACCAGCCGTTCACTCGAAAAATCCCCTCGCCAAACAATGGCTTCTCGGGTTTTGTGAGGCGTATTTTGGCAAATTATATTACCTACCCATAAGGCGCAGGTAAGAGATTTTGAGCTACTACTATAGTTTTGAGTACCTACTCACTAATTTCGTGCTCTGGTAAAGTGAAGCATTCTATGTATACTTAGGGCCGATACTTTTGCTCTCGATTAACGAATTTGATACGTTGTCAAAGTTTTGCATGGGCCAAGGGCTATAAGTATGATGTGGTTAGAGCACATTCTAACCCCTGATTATTTTTAACGGCTGTCAAATTGGAGCAAAAGTACCGGCACTATTTTTTTGAAAGCTGGTATAACCAATAAAATATCACCCTATCGTTTACTGGACGTGGTGTGGTTCTCTTATTGAATACAAATATTTTGTTAAAGTATTTTTCGCCTGTTTACTACAATTCTTACTACGCTCAGGCCGATGACTTTTTCCTAATTTCTTTTGGATTTGCTACCTGAGAGCCTCAAATATCTATTTTCTGCTGGAGCGGTCAAAAAGTGTTTAGAGGGTCAGTGCGCCCAACTCTGGGTTAATTTATTTTACACCGAAATGCCGAAACCTACCGAAATGTTGGTAGAAAAGTTTAAAGGTTTGTTCTCTATGGGTCGGGTTTCCAATAGCGAGTCACTTCCAGGTAAGTATGATTGAGTAAACCAGCTTTCCAAAAAATATATTTTATAATAATAGTTATGGTGTAGGTATTATCCCAAATTTACTTGGAATCAACCTCCACCTTTTTTATTTTTTAACTAAAAATTGCTTTTATGTGAATTGGATTACAGGTAGTCGAGGTAGGTATAAGATGGGCAATAATTTTACATACCGAAACAAAACAAAAATATTTATTCGTGTTTGGCATTTGATTTTATAATGGCTTCAACTTTTTCAAGTTTTTCCCCCAGTTAGCAAGAGACCTAATTCCGTTTGAGAAAAAATTCCCATACTGAACGTCCAGTTGGAGAAGCGATTATTTATTTATAGATTCTTCCAAGAAAGAAAATGTGACAACCTCAATGGACGCAAGCTACTTCCAGGGAACAACGATGTTAGAAATATAGGATCTAACCCCACCTATCAAGAACCAGTGAGACAATGAAAAATTCTTCATGACATGAACTTTCGCTGGGAAAAGCAGAATAGAACAGTTTTTATTGGACTCATACTGATATTGATGAAATGTGTGGTATTCTTGGGGAGATGAAAAGTAATAATTCCTCTGGTATAGAGATGATCTTTCACTCCGAGTGTTTGAGGCCTTGACACAACAGGTTCTGGAGGGGATGGTAACATTATTAAATCATTCTTTTGATGGTTGTTTTTCTTCTAGTCTCAAGAGCGCTGTTAAGGGTGGTGATCCGGGAAAACTTGCCGTTCTTCGTCCAATCTCAATGTTACCAACGCATTCAAAGATCATTGAAAAGCTTAATAACCTTTATGTCTAATCACTTGTCAGTTTGGATTTCAAGCCTCGACTGTACTACTGGTGCGGTGTTTAAACTTTTGGAGAATGTATACATCGGCCTAAATGGGGGAAGAATCGCTGCAGAGGTTTTCTGTGATTTTTCTAAAGCGTTTGATTGCTTAAATCATAGAATACTGCTGGAGTAGATGTATCAGTATGGATGGTTAAGGTCTTATTTTTCCGGTAGAAAGCAAATGTTTGTGCTGAGGATGGGTAAACTCAGATGAACTCAGGCAAAAGATCTAGACTAGATATTCGGGGCCGTTTTATCATGTTTGCAGATGATACCACTATCTTATGGCTTGATGAAGATGCTATAGTTTACTGAAAGATATTATAATCGAAGACCTACGTGTGAAGAAGTGGTGTGATGCAAATTTACTTTGTTTTAATTTGAATAAAACTTGTGCTATTTCTTTTAAGTTTGTTCTGGATGATCTGAATTGCCTTCCTAATTTAAATTACGTGTTTTGTGTCGAAAAGTGGAAAATAATAAAGGGAAAGCTTTTATTGTGATTCTGTAAGGTGCTATTATTACAGGAATTCAATGGCATCTGCCTCCAAGTCCAAGCGGTTCAAGCATAACACAAACTGCTGTGTATACGAAAAAGGTGCAGACAGAACTATTCATTTTCATTATTTTCCTTAGAAAAATAGTGATCGTGCTTTCTACGCCAGCCTTCCAGGTAGGATAAAACTGTGGCTAAACTCAGAAACAGGCCTCCATTTTCCATATTTCGTGTTGTATGGATACGAAATGCACAAAAGAACGTCATAACGTTCAAAATTTATAAAATATAGTAGAAAACCACCGAAAAAACTACGTGAACAACGAGAAAATTAGCGAAAGAAATACGAATGCATATAAATACAATGCTGAATGTCAAAATATTACTCGTTCTCCGCCATATTTGTTTACAAACACCAGCGCCCCCATCGGTAGTCGAAATCGCCAATAGGGACGGTTTTTTCGTAGCAAATGAGGACAGCTTTAGGTTTCTGGGGCTTACACATTTATTAGGATTTGAAATTTAAAGAGTTGTATCTAAACAAGCATTCGAAACGTGGATGTTATGTTGACGTCGTATTGTTACAGGTAAGGTAGCCATACGTCAGTTTTTGTAACGAACAGTCCGTTATTTTGAAACCGTCCGTTTTAGTCGATTGTCCGGTATTTTTATTATTCATTTGAAAAAAATATTATATTGAATACTAGGGGTCGGTTTCTCAATAAGCGAGTCACCTCTGAGTTAGTTTTAACTCCATGGTAAACGTGTCCAGTTCCAATATTTACCCTGGAGTTATGCTTAACCCGGGGGTGACTTGCTATTGAGAAACCGGCCCTAGGCCTTTTTGGAAACGCTGATCTAATTAACCGAATCACCAGCTGATGTACTGATGTAGAAATGAAGAAAGATAAAAAATAAACAGCTAGTGATTGGGTTAATCGGACCAACGTTGCAGGAAAGGCTTACTATCCTAATATTAATATGGCGTCATCTATGAGTATAAAGAAGCACACCCCGACCGGCTGGACAGAGGGCGCGCTCCTTAGTCGGCATAAAGAGCACTACCAGTAGGTTGAGGTTGGCTACACTGGAATTGATGGGATTCCCCTAATAGTTGTATTCCTTTCAAGAGTTTAGAACACTAGAGCTACTCGTTCTGGTGTTAGTTGACCCCGATTTGAAAGGAACATATCGGTATCGAACAGATGCGCTGGCTTTCGTGCATTTAAATGGTTTGATTCGGGCTTGAGCACTTCAGGTGCAACAAACACTTTCCGAAAGGAGTAAGCGCGTAACGCCCCGGAGCTGTTCCCGAGCTCCTCTTAGGTGTGAAAGGAATACAACTAATATGAGTTTCTGTTTTGATGAAAATGTTTTACGTATGACCCAAAGGTATGGTCATATATGACCAGAAAATTATCCCTCCTCCGCACCGCCACTATCCATTAAAATAGATGACGTCAAAACCTGTTTTTCAAATGTTGATTTGGGATGTCCGTCCGTTATTTTTTGAAAAAAAATATGGCTACCCTATCACAGGGGCAGTTAGGGTCATCCACAGCTAAGTAGGTATACATGTCTGGCAAGTCAGCATTACGGGCCAATTTCAATGCAATAGAATGAAATGTCTAGAAAAAGTCTAAGGTTAAATACAGAAGGAAAACGATTTCCCCTGTTCCACCTCCAGAATGCAGCGCTAGGAATGCTGGGAGTCCCATATTTGATACATGGAATTGCTTTTTGGGGTTTTTGTAGCAAAAAAAACTTTTCAATTCTTCTGTGTTTGTCCTACAGAAGAGGGTACCTACGAACCAACTTATGCAAAATGAAGGTTAGGTTAGAGACCCTTTGTGGGCCATTCTTTGTTTAGGAGAGACTCCACATTGCCATGTCTTTTTATTTTGGAAAAATATGAAAATTCGATAAATCCCTCAACATCACCAACACGCGTACTTAATGGACGTAATTTACGATTACCTATACCAAGAGCAGTAGTGTTACCAAAAACTCTTTAATGTATGACAGTTTGAAGATTTACAATCATTTGCCAGATGGGTGGAAAGCTCTCCGTGATCTCAAGAGTTTTGTGAAATGGGAAAAGTCCGTTATTTTAAAGTTATAGGCCTACTAAAACTTAGAAGAGTATTATGAGGATGTTTTTTAGTCTTTGGTCTTATGTGCTTGATGACTTTTGTCAATTAGTTTTTTTCTTCGGACAATAAAGCATTTTCTGATTCTAATTCTGCCATTTGCATTTTATGACACTATTGTTCGTTCACCCGTTACATATGTTGGCTTACTGGGGCTACAATCAGACCTATTATGTATCATTTTCTGTTACTTTAACAGCAACGTTAAGTTGTCTGTCACTGTTTATTCTATACGTCCAAATAGAGAGAAGTATAGATGTTGAGCTATAACATAGCTGTTAAATTAATAGGAGAGGATATATCATAGGCCTGAATATGTATGTATTCTATTGGCCTCATATTTTGATAAAGATGATTAGAATGATAAAATTCGTTGTCACGCCCGACCCATGCTGTTTTGAATGTATAATGAAGGCATTCCGCTATCAAAGCCGATGGGATAAACTTATGGATTATTCTGATGTGTGTAAAACATTAGAGTTGTTTTCTCGCGTCCACTTTTTTGAAACTGGTTCAAAACAGGTTTGAAACAGTAGGTCTGTTTCTGCAGAAATCAGAAACCAGTCAGAGCGAATTTCATTGGTTGAAAACAGTCAGAAAACTAGTTTCAACCAATTAAATTCACTCTGGCTGGTTTGGGATTTCTGCAGAAACAGACCTAGTATATTCTCGCGATGAACCCATGACGTCACATCAAAATTATTTCAAACCGTTTCGAAATACAATCCAATCCAAGTTTTCAAACTATTTTCTCGCGCCGAAAAATTATGACGTCATGTGACACTGTTTTAAACCAGTTTTGAAAAACGTTTTAAAACATTTGAGACGCGAGAAAATTCCTTGGGTAAAATCATTCTATTGTTTATGCAATGGTAAAATCAACGGTAAAATGTAAAATGTTGAACAATGACTCAGGAGCTCCTTGACTATCAACGACGAATTTTAGATTTGCGTTGCGGTGGCACGACTGAGTGAAGGTCCCTGTACAAAAAAGTTCGCCATCTCTTGTTGCAATTCCCAACTAAATTTAAATGCCATTAACAGCTGTTTTTGACAAACCGGAAACTGAAATGCTGCTGTCAAGGGACCTCATCCACCAATTTGAGAAGAAAATTATTTTAATTATTATTAGTTAACTGACTAATGAGTTTTTGTTTTAAATAGGTACATTGATGAATTTTCCAGTTCAAAAGATTCTTGCTGGAAATTGATGTAAATTGCCAAGCTAAGTAATCAGGATTTGCACTTTGAAAAAAAGTTTTCTACTGCTTCCTTGTATACCAGCATCAGTTTTATCAAAATTTCAAGAATTCGTCTATTCATCATTTGAAAAGATGATTCAAAAGTACCAAGTATGTTAGCCAGCCACCAGGATGTATTTAACATAGTGCAAGCTAAATTTTTGGCTGCAGAGGTAGTTAAAAGTGTATCCTTTTTTGTGACTATAAATTCAAATCTCATTCAATTGTCTCAGGTCTTGGAAATTATTTAAGACATGCCTTTTTATATTGGAAATATACTTCACCTTTTACCAGCATTGGTATATATGCTCAACATTTCTTATCTTGTTTATACAGAAAGCAAACATTCCTAATTAATAGTTCTGTTTACCATTTCTGTGTTTCTGATGACTATTTGATTCGTACCAATCGTACCTAATAAGGTATTTATTTATCAGCAGTTTTCATGTCTGGCAGCTGAGTAAGTGCTGAGTGGTCTAAAAATTTTGCAGAGCCAAAGAGACGTTACGCTAAAGTAAGTTTTACATTTTAATTTTTATTAGATAAGAATGCTTTCTCAAATTCTGAACATAGTAAAACTTCAACCAGAAAAAAACCCAATCTTCTGGAGATGAAGTTACACTTTTTTCTTTTTTGTATTGACTTGATTGGAGGCATGTTAATTGTTAACGCATATTTTATTTCCATGAAAAGAAAACTGGTAGGGTAAATAAAGGGAATGATTTTCCTAAATCAAAAATAACAGAGCTAAAAATCAGTTGAGTAGTTAGTTGATTATTGGCCGGTATTATAAAACACTGAACCGATGGTTGAGTTTCAACCTTCGGTTGACTCCAAGCAAATTGATGGGATTCAACCGAAGGTTGAAACTCAACCATCGGTTCAGTGTTTTATAATACCGGCCCTATAAGGCCCAGTTTATTCATCTTCAGATAAGCTTACTTGGTCTACAAGACAAATTCACCAATCTCTAATCCTTTTGGTCGGCGGATAAATGGTCGAACAATAGGATTATAGAATGTGTCTTCATCCGAGAGATTGCATCACCTGAGAGTTTATCAGAAGTTGAATAAACCGGGCCTTATTCAAGCTTGATAAGACCAGGGTCTTTATTCTTGAAACAGGGGAGCAGAATTCCCAGGAAAACGAGTGTTCCGTCTTTCTCAATGATATGCAAATGATAATATAAGTAACAAAGACAAAACACTTCTTCTCCTGGGAAGGCTGCTCCCCTGTTTCAAGAATAAGGACCCAGATAGACAATCAAGGGGAAAACCACCCCCTCAGAATTTGTGCAAACCGAGGTGCAAACAATTCCTCAAAGGGGAATTTTTTACATAAAATTCCTCAAAATTCTTGCAAATTCCTCCAAATTCACCACCAATTCCTCCAGATACCCCACCACAAATTTCTCTAAATACCTCACGACAAATTCCTCCAAATACCCCAAAAATTTCTCCAAATTCCCAGCAAATTCCTCCAAATTCCCGCAAAGTCCTCCAGACTCCTCGCAAATTCCGTAAACAAAAAAAATTGATCTGACCTTGGCATAGTCAGGCTGAGTAGGCCATACAAATGTGTCTAATTCCTTTTCCAAAATTTGAGTAAACTCTTTTTTCAACATTCAGCTTTTTTTCATAGGTACCTACTTAGATGAAGTTAGGATACATATTATATTGCATCAACTTCAATAATTGAAGTTGAATTATTCAAGTAGCTTGAAGTTCGCTCAGGGTCTTTTTCAAGGAGATTTTGTACGTCTTCTGAAATTATTTTCAAAACGCTTTTGAAGTTCATCCTATCTTCTGGAACAATGTCAGAACTAACTAATAAATGTTCATTTTTCTTATGTTTTTCAATAAGCATAATATATTAAAATGATCTAGTGAAATTATGTAATCTCCATTATCCAATGGCCAATAATTTTTTTCTCAGTAGGCGATTTCCTAATTTGGCCCCAATCAATATGAGATGTATCTTGAATGTAGCATTCAAATCCATTCAAGTCTAAGTAGATCCAATTCCAAAAGGTTTTTCCTTGACAGCTATTGAAATTTTCAGACATATTCTTCATTTAGATAAAAATTAAACTCATTATTCTTTTAAATTTTTCAAATTTGGTCATGTAAATTATGGAGTAAAATTTTGGGACATTTCTTGAATAAAAATGAATATCCAACACAAAACTAGATTTTCTTTGTAGAATTTTCCCACAAATTTCTTCAAATTCCCTATAGATTCCCCAAATTCTCATAAATTCCTCCTAATTCCCCTAAAATACATGTAAGTACAGAGTCTGTTCCTTATACCTAATTAGTGCAGCTTCTACAACTCAAAGAAAAATAAATAAAAGAAAAAGTTGAATACAAAAGTTTTTACCGCTATTATCTTTTGCACATGTCAAAACGAAACAAAAAATAAATAAAAGAAAAAGGTGAATACAAAAGTTTTACCTCTATTATCTTTTGCACATGTCAAATGACGGGGCCAATACTGTAATAATGACAACCACATGCATTTTTTCATATGAAACCTGTCATTTGCCCGTTTTGACAAGTGCAAAAGATGATAGAGATCAAACCCTACAAGTTTTGTATTTAACTTTTCTTTTAAATCTTTTTTTTGTTGAAATTGTAGAAGCTTCATTGATTATAAAGAACAGACCCTGTACAATCACTATTCTCCCTTATTTTTCAGCCATTTGTGGTCCAAGTTTGGGTTGTCTATCAACTTGAGGTCAAGTTACAAAAAAAAGCAAAAAGAGTGCAAGTTTTTGAATTTTACGACTAATTATTAGCGGCAAATTCTTAGCATAGTGGCGGTGGCGCTATCCCTCTTAAGTCAAGATGATGGACATAGACCATCCAGGTTCTTTTTTTTAAATTTTGTATTTAGTCCTTCAGTGTTCACTCTATGGTTTTTATATTCATATCAGTGTCTTTTCAGATTTACATTGTAATTTTTCCGAGAATTTTTCATAGTTACTTCTTTAGTGAAGTGTGTACTTTCTACTACTACTGATATGTATTGACATGAATCAATAATAAATAAATAAGCCGAGTTTCTCCTCTTTATGCTAAGCTCCCTTTTCTTACAACATTGCCATAAAAAAAAAGTAGCACAGCAAAAATTGCCAACATTCCCAGTCTGAAAACTCAACATTATGTACCTGTGTTCAAGCCTGTGTTACTATAGGTCAGTTCATGCAAAGTTCAGAAAACTAGTTTCAACCAATAAAATTCACTCTGACTGGTTTGAGATTTCTGTGTGATCAGACCTTATGTCATTGCCCAAACCCAAAATAGTTTGAAATGTTTATTTACTGCCAAAATGTTGTATGTTACACCGGGGGCTCAAATTGGAGTTAATAATTTTTAGATCGCAACTTACCATTTTGTTCAGGTTTCATTTCTATTAGGTATTTGATGTTCTACCCTGCTTCCTTTTTCACTGATTCTACTGTTGGATTGTTGCTCACAGGATTGTTGTCAATACCTCTATTGTCTTCAATTGCATTAATAAATATTTTCAATTTGTATCCCTTAAACCATTCAGAACCATATTCTTGTCAATGTTGTAGAAATACATGGACGTTTGGGTTAGCCCTGCTTATTTGATTTGTTGCAGTATTGAATTATCAATTATTATAATTTCTCATTTTCTCAGTGCCAGATGAAATTGAACTACATTTTAAATCGACATTATTTTTTTGTACCTAAGTACTTATTGTCTCTTTTTTTTTTATTCTGCAGTAACTTCAACCTCGTGTAAAATCTTTATGAGAAAGAGAAAATAATAATATGTTTTATAGTCGTGATATTAGTATGTAATCATTTAATGTACTGGTTATCAGGTTTTGCACAGACAAAAAAAAAAACTCCCCCGATCTTCAAAAATACCGATGCTCCAACCTTTATTAGGGCTTCTCCAAGACTAAAAAACAAGCTTGAAAATTACAGCCTGTAGCCTAGGTCAACAGATGATAATAAAATAAATTAGGAAAAATATAAACCCTACCCATTTAACAATTATTGGAGTGTTAGTCAACAATACAAAACATGTGTAAACACTGTAAATTACATAGATATCTACTATTTGTGCCTATTTATAATTTTGAAAAAATAGATGTGTATCCTTATGGACCTTATGGATACTTTCATAAGATCCAACACTGCGATTTTTGAAGACTGATGGAGTTTTTTTGTCTTTCTGTTTGATAACCAGTACCTACCTTCCTTCAATTCACAACAACAGAAAATAAGTTTCATCAACAAATCATAACTAATACCTTATATTGAAGCAGTCATTAAGGTATGACTATTTTTTTCAACTGTAAGTTAATGTTTTATATAAAAAAACAACAAAAAAAGGCTGTCCTAGCTAGCTAATTATGATATATCTATATACAGGGTGGGGACTTTAACTGGAACTAATTCGCTAGAGCCTTCGGATAAAATATGTGGACAAAACGCAAAAACACGTCGATCAAGATTTTATTTTTGAGATTTTTCCATATTAATTTATTTATACAGGGTGTTCCAAGAACAGCTCTACGGTTATCAACTTTATTTTTCCAAATGGTAGCCCCTGTATATTATGACATTTCTGGATTCTGCTGAAAATTCTAGACATATTTCATGTACAATGTCATATACCTATCTTCAACTGTTTCGGAAATATTGACAGTTGAAAATTGACTTTTTTGCAACTTTGACAGGCTGTAAAACCTAAACGGTTAATTTTAGAGGAAAACCAGTTTTACATTCCTGTCTTAGATTTTCATAAACTATCATTTGACACTAACTTTGAATTTAACTGAAGATTGAATTTAACTGGAATTTTTAGTCATGGATTAAATTCAAAGTTGGTGTCAAATGATAGCTTATGAAAATCTAAGATAGGAATGTGAAATCGGTTTTCCTCTAAAATTAACCGTTAAGGTTTTACAGCCTGTCAAAGTTGCAAAAAAGTCAATTTTCAACTGTCAATATTTCCGAAACAGTTGAAGATAGTAATATGACACAAGTAATATGACATTGTGAATGAAATATGTCTAGAATTTTCTGCAGAATCCAGAAATGTCATAATATATAGGGGCTACCATTTGGAAAAATAAAGTTGACAACCGTACAGCTGTTCTTGGAACACCCTGTATAAAAAAATTAATGTGAAAAAAACTGAAGCAAAAAATCTTGATCGACTTGTTTTTGCGTTTTGTCCACATATTTTATTCGAAGGCTCTAGCGAATTAGTCCCCACCCTGTATATAAAAATGAATGCCACTTTTCGTTGTAATTTTATAACTCAAGAACGGACTCACCTAGCCAAACCAAATGTTTAGGCTTTGTTCGGAGTATTTATTAGATGGTTTATGTGAAGTTTGCACAAAATCGGTCGAGCGGTTCTTCATTTATCACATTTTTTGTAATAAATTAATTATTCAATAAATGGAGCATCATTTTGCTGTCAAATTCAAACTTTTTTCAGCGTTGACAGTACCAGCATGTTGTTATGTCATTAATGTGGCCATTTAATTACTTATTTTATTTATTTATGAAAAAAATTTGCTAAGCCCGCATACGGCGCCATGTCTTATAACCGATACCAAGTTTATTTTGTATTTTGTATACCGCGCCATCTCTGATACCTGGAACGAAGCTCGGCATTGCAGATACAGTAGAACAATGCTGCACAGAACTATTCCACTATTCCGATCAGATAGAGTGGTGCAGAAAGAGTAGGTCAGATAGAGTAGTGCAGATAGAGTAGAACAGATGGAGTAGTGCAGTGCATGCAGTGCAGATAGAGTGAAATAGGGCTGCGCTAGAGATTTTTTTTGTTTTGTTTACATTCTTTGAACATTCCTGTGCCTGAGTTTATTTATTTGGTGGTACACTTTACAAGAATAATGCCCACAAGCTGCCTAAAAAAGGATGATGTAAAATTTTAATTTTAGGTGCCTTCTGATCCAGAGAGTAAACATTAATTTTCTTCAACCAAAGCCAAATTCACCATCGAAAAAAACTGAATTTAATTCAGCTAATAGATACGTTAACACAACATTTAATAGGTATATTTAATAATTCAGAGGCGGTACGAAGTTCGCCGGGTCAGCTAGTTGTATATATTCCTTAATTCTCCTAACACAGATTCATTTAAATGTATCAGTAGTGGATGGCCCTTCAATAAACAGCGATAGAATTCTAGCCTTAGTTGAATACAATAAGTCCTGTGCTTTATTTGTACTTATTTCATCTAGGAGTCAACCAATTAGCTTTTCCGATTTATCCATTGAAACTGTCATTCCGATTGATCCAAACTTTTCTTGTGGTAAGTAACTTGTTGAAGTTATTATTTCTTTTTTTTTGAGAAATTTATTGCAAATTGCAGAGACTGAGCCAGGTGCAGGACAACATTATGTAATTTTGATAATAAAATACAAACAAAGTAGATTCCAATATAATATAGAGATTGGAAAGGATAGTTGTAATTTTGCTGCAGAGCTTATTAAATCAAAAGAAGGTAGGTCAATAAACATAATGTTATATTGTAGCTATGTTTGCAGGAATTATTATTGCTATTATTATTTATATGGTTTTTGATAATAAGTAAGGTATCCTTACGTGCATATCGAAGCTTAAATTCTCATCACAAACACTTTGCATATATATAAAACTCCATGCTGTATAGAGCACAAAAAATTCTAGTTTATTAAACAAGGTTTAGGTCTCTAGGTTCTCCAATTCTGCTTAGACTACCAAGAAAGATTTCCATTGGTACATGACCTGATTTGCTGAGAAATTTAATATTCTTTTTTCATATTTCTCTCTAGATTTGCAGGATTTAAATGAAATTTGTGGGATCAGCGCAACTCAAAACTTCAAATTAGATCATCCCTTGTTCTTCTGTTTCTCACATTGATAATCTAATCCTATATCCTGCAAATCCCTGGACAACTTAAATATTATTCTCCTCTCTGCTCTCAGATACTATATATTGCAATACTGGAGCAACATTTGCGATTGTTATTATCTTTGTCTTTTTTAAAATGGCTCATAAACTCTTTGAAAATTTGTATAAAATGTAAATTCTTCTTCTAAAAATTGATTGAAGAAGAGTAAAAGAGAATTTTATTTATTCGTTGTCCTTGGCTGGTGCATAGTCAAAACGTTGGCCGAAGGATACTTCTTCAATAAAATAAATGATACTTCATCATAACAATAATTATTCAATGTTTCAATGATGGTGGAAAAAAACCAGATTTTACATTCCTGCAGAAAATAAATTTCATTTGATAATGCCGTAGCTGAAATAACAAGTCTTAAAAATGCATTGGTAGCTGATTGCAGCATACTTAATAGATTTGTCATAATTGTGTGATAACATTTATGAATCAAAGACTACCAGTAAATACGATACAAGTGTTCAGTGTTATTTGTCCTTTTATTGTTGTATGGCTATCAGCTAGTGACAATGTGTAGATTCCGTTGTTTTGCAGGGAGTTCAAATACCAACCCAAATAATAATACCTGGTTGGAAAAATATTTTGGAACGATGAACAATTCTAATAGGAACTCGGATCCTGTGGACCAGGTAAGAAAATCAAATTTATTTGAAAGTGTTTAAGATGAAAAATTATTTAAAGTAAACATGATTTGTACCTTTCTTTTCTGTTCCACTATATTAGATATTATATAAGATATCAGAATTGTGAGTGAATATCTAAGATAGTCTAATCCATTATTATCAAACCAACTGTAAACATTTACATATTCATTCGCAATGATAAGATTTTCCTTATCAAGTTCATTAATATATTTATTTTATAGATTAGGTTAGTGTTTGAATTTTTTTATGCCTACCTACTTCTAAAATATTTGACTTGACAGTTGAAATAAAAATAATTGATACATGTACTTAGATGGATGAAAAATACAAAATCATAAAAACATGACATTTTTTCAGGGTGAGTTGGTGGTTATCAGAGATGGCATGGTTCAGGGACAAACAGCTATAAACCGTGAGTCTATGCTGAAGTATCAGCTGAAGTTAAAGGAGCCAGAGTTTACACAAAAGCAAGAATTCTCGTAAGTGATTATTGTCCACGAATTGTTATTGCGACTTAACCACTTGTTTCATTTTAGGATTTTTGTTGGTACTTGGAATGTAAACGGTCAGCCCCCAACCGTTTCTTTGAGATCGTGGCTAAGCTGGGATGAAAATCCACCGGATGTATATGCTGTAGGCCTCCAGGAAATAGATCTTAGTAAAGAAGCATTTTTTTTCAATGATACCCCAAGGGAAGCTGAATGGCAGTAAATATAACATAGAAACAGGATTAGGCATGGGCTGTACTTCATTACCCGACTTGAAAAACACAACCACCTATTTTCAGTACTTTTTTGTGTAGTCGATTATTTTTTGTAGAGTAATTTAGTACAGTACTGTGCCCAGCTCTGTAGACAAATTATGCAAAGAATATCAATGTTTACATATACTTTTTTAGAAAATTTGTGATGGATGGTTTGCATCCTAATGCCAAATATAGATTAGTGGCTCTGGCTAGACTGGTTGGAATTCAACTGGCAGTTATGGTGAACAATCAGCATTACCGATATGTTAAAAATGTATCCTTTGATACCAGGGGTACAGGACTTTTGGGAATGGTAAGAAAACTTTATTTTTCATTGTTTTTTTTTCAAAGCTGACTGGATGTTTCTGCTTTGAAATATAATGTGTATTTGTTTTGGGTAAACTTTTGCTAATGGCTCACATAACATCAAAAATATGACAATAAATAATTGTGACATTAGAGAAAGTAATGACCTGGGTGATGGCATAGTCCAAGTACAGCTAAAGTACAAAATCTGACGTCTATTTTTGATATGAAGCATACCGTAACACCACTTAGATTTCAGAGACACTTTGTATGCTTACCCGCTTCTCTATTTTCATTTTTTATCAGGTCAATAATACTAGTAAATAATAATTTATTTATTATTTGTTAGGGACTGACACTTTGCGTATCAAAAGTTTAATGTCTGTGAAAACAGATTTGAATTGGTTGTGCTATCACAAAATAGTGATCTAAGCTTATGTTTTCCTGGCATTTGGGTTTTTATCGATTCTAGATTTGCATTAATAAGGCAGTAGCTGGGGAAAATGCATGTCACTGTCAAAAATAAGAAATGAAATTTTGGTGATGGGATGTTTTGAGGTTGCACTTTTACCTCAAAGACCAGCAAGTGGAAACTATTTAGATTCCCCGTTAGGCTTTGAAGTTGGACCCATTTTTGGCATAAGCTTTTTGTGAAACAGCCAAGAGCTCAATAAGCTTAGTCCATTTACCAGTACGTCAAAATTTGCATCTGGTTCAGAGGATTCCTACCCTACAAGATCATAATATGTCCAATGCAACAAATCATAGTTTGCACAAGACAACAAGGATCTTCCAGCATTTTGAAATTTTATATTCCATTCAGATTTCAAGCTCAAATTTGTATTTTTTTCTAATTTATTATTATTTATTTTACTTCGACAGATGTTTTTCTAAAATTTGATTTTTCGACAGGGTAACAAGGGTGGCGTAGCTGTGAGGCTTGAACTCCACAACACCTCGTTGTGTTTTGTGAATTGTCATTTGGCTGCTCATGTAGAGGAGTTCGAAAGGCGAAACCAAGATTACAAAGATATCGATACCAGGATTAATTTCAGAAAAAGTCCGCATGAAATAAAAGACCACGAGTAAGTTGATTCAATTAATCAGTTGTGATATTTATTTGTGTACTGTCTACATCTATTAAATAACTCAAATAGGTTCGACTCTGTTAAATTGATAAGGGCGAGTCTTTTGGCACCTTAAATCTGATTCCATTTTATAGACATAAGCTTTTGTAAGTCAATTGCTTGCATTGCATGGTTTTGTGGGTTAGCGTTTCAGTTTAACACAAAGAAATACCTGTTTAAAGTTACCTTGAGGGCCTCGAATCCTGATTAAAATAACATATTCTTGTTTTTAGTCAAATTTACTGGCTTGGAGATTTAAATTATCGCATAACAGATCTAAATACTTCTCAAGTAAAAACCCTGCTACAAAGAAGTGAAATGAATACACTTTTAAAAGTGGATCAACTGAATCAGCAAAAAGAAAGAGGACGAGTTCTTGTGGTAAATAATGATTGCAATTGATTGTTTATTTTAAATGGTTATCAAAACGAGATTTATCTAAAACTCATTCTTGGTGCTTTTAGAACTATATTGAAGGTGATATCACGTTTCCACCAACCTACAAATTCGACTTGAACTCGGACACTTATGATACTAGCGAAAAGGCTCGACCTCCAGCATGGACAGATAGGATTCTCTGGCGTGGCAGAGGAATCCATCAAGTCAGTTATAGGTATAATGTTCAATCAATATTTTACACAAACATAAATTGTGTGCCTGGTCTTTTTATGCAGGAGTCACATGGACATAAAAATGAGCGATCACAAACCTGTTAGCAGTCTCTTCATGTCTGAAATAAGTGTGGTAGATCCAAGCAAATATAGGAAAGTCCATGAAGACTTGTTGAAGAAAATGGACAAACACGAGAATGAGTTTCTGCCGCAGGTTACTGTGGACCAAGCTGAGGTTACATTTGAACTTGTTAAGTTTAGAGAACCTCAGTTCAAGGAAATAATTATTGCTAATACTGGAGTGGTTCCTGCAGAGTTCGAATTCATCAAAAAATTAGATGAATCTTCTTACTGCAAAGACTGGTTGACAATCATGCCCTTTTGCGGAAGTATAAATCCTGGTAAGTTTATATTTTTTCCTGACATTAATATATATTTAAATCAGGACATTGGGCAGTAAGGTCTATGAAGGTGACTTCTGGAGAAATTGAATTTTTTTTCTGATGTTCAGCAAGCTTGGACGACTTGCTTCCTTGGAGTTGCTTGCATCTGTTGGTTGTTTTCATGAACAGCTTTTGTTAGAGTAGATAGTTTAATTAATTTATTGATGTTTCAAAACACAGTTTGGATTTGTACTAGAAATTTTGTTACTCGAGGGATCCCGGAAGTCTTCTAGGTTTTCACAGATGGCAATACTTTTATGGGCCAGAATAATGATATTTTCTTGGTTGTTGATTGCCTGTAATTCGAATTTGTAGCAAAATATATGCTGTATCTTCTTAGATCTCTTGTGCGTCCAAAAATTCTGCTATAAATGCTCCAGTCAATACAGCTTTCCAGGATTTTTCCTATTTGCAAAGTATTTATCGATTGCAACACTATTATGTACTATTTCCTATTTACTTATTTGTTTCTTCCTTGCCACTATAAGATACACATATTGAAAAAGCAAAATCACACAGTATTCAAACAAATTAATTAAAATGAAGAGACAGTTACACATTGAAAAGGAAAAAAAAAAAAAACAATTTTCCCTAGAGATCTAAAGGCCAAAGAGACTTTATAGGGCTGTAGTAGGGTCCTCTCTCATAAAAAACAGATACATGAGAAGCTGTTCTTAGTTAATATCTGCTTCTTGTGTGTCTGTTCCAGAAGAAAAGGTATAACTTAACTTAAGATAAGAGACCATACAGCCACTTCCTCGCTTATATTTTGTTAATACGCTTGTTTTGATCATTTCGGTAGTAATAGTTTAATCTAATTCAATCTTTTCTCTGTTCCAGGCGAAAAATGTGATGTGAAATTGGAAGTGAATTTAGAAACGGATTTAGAGACTCTCTATGACATTTTGGTGCTGCACCTCAAAGGTGGCAAGGATATGTTTATTACTGTTAATGGACATTGCCAGAAATCGTGCATCACTCAAACATTGTCTTCCTTAGTTAGAATCCAAGTACCTATCATGCATTTGAGCAAGGAAGAATTGGCTTCAGCAGTAAGTAAACCAAAGTGTAAATTTTGAAAGGTTTTTCCTTATTTGCAAATTTTCTTTTAGCTCAACAATCAAGGACCAATATATTATTCAGTCCCCAGAGAATTGTGGCTTTTAGTTGACCATTTATACAGGCATGGACTAAGAACCAGAGATCTTTTTGAATCATGCGCGCTCCATGAAGAATTGATTAGAATTCGAGACTGGCTGGATTTTGGATCCAAAGATCAAATTCGTATCCTTTTAACTTTTATTACCAAATTAATCCGAAATATTTAGACAATGTTTCCTTAACAGTATCAATAGCTGGGACACCTCAAGCTGTCGCCGAAACATTTTTATTATTTTTGTCATACACCAAAGAGCCTATCATACCATTCGATCTTCAAGATTCTTGTGTAGCAGCGGCGAATAATTTTGAGAACTGTCGCCAGGTAAGAAAAGTTTTTAGTAGAAATGTAGTTAGTTGGTTTTTTCCAAATGAACTAAACCTCATCCCTGTATTATGTTAAAATAGTTATCATGAAATATTTTTTAGTTGATTCTCCAAAAACTAAACGACATCCACCGTACCGCCTTTCTGTACATATGCATGTTTCTTCAGGAACTATTAAAATATTCCAACGATAATGGATATGATGCCAAAACAGTAGCCTCCCTATTTGGCGATATATTGCTCAGAGATCCAATTAGAAATTCGAAGCCTCAAGCCAGCAGAGGTAAAACAAATTTTGTCTACAATTTCCTTATGAACGATTTAAGCTCTTCATTAATTCCTAAGTAAAAAAACAAATAAATATCTAATAAGCAGCTATTAGAATTTTGCATTGAGAAATTAGAATCGAGAAAAAATATCCCCAAGCTTTAAAAAATAATATAAATGGTGATTCAAAAAGCACACCGAACCTAATATATCAAAATAGCCAATGTAAAACATGTTGGATTTTTCCATTTTTTGAAATTGAATCGATTTCTTCGGACTGTCATGATCCAACCTGTTTTCAACCAGTCGCCTAGAATTTTCAACGTTGAGTGTTGAATCTGTTTCATTGAACTTTCCTATTATGCAAGTCTAAGAACTGTTGATTCATTTGGTGTCTTTTTACACTCAAGAATTACGCCAATCCGTCGGACAGTTGCTGCACAACTTTCTCCGCTATGGTTGAACTTTCTGAAAATTAACACACATTCCTTACTTTTCAAGTGTTTCGTGAAGAGAACACTACGAACAGAATTGAATTGTTGTCAGATGAAAACTCTATACAAAACAGCGCAACAACGCAATGGCGAGCAATTAAAAACCGGCGTGCTTTTTGAATCACCTTATATTAGGATTTTGGAAATAAAGCAATCTCTGTAACTAGTTTAGAAACCAAATATGGTGAGATTTTTAGTTTTTCGTGTTTTTCATAATAGAACGTGTCTAGAGGATTCAGAACGTGTGATCCTTTAAATAACTTAAAGAACCAAACAAATGTGTCTTCTTGACGCCCTCTACGTCTATGCCAGAATCAATTCAATTTTGACTGCGCGACATGTATAACAATTGACATACTAACGTATTATGCTGTGGTTATCGTGGGATTGACTAACAAGTAATATATACATCAGCCGAGGGGTCAACCACTATGCTTACAAATGTACAATGATTTCCATATTTGGCAATCATCGATCAATGAATCTCATGTTCATTCGAAGAATTGCGACTGATTGCCAATGATTTTGAGATATTTTTGTATGATTACCAGGTGATTTCCATTTTTTATTTGGGATTCCTATATTATTCCCTATTGATTACCTGATTTCCTCGATAATTTCCTACAATCATCCGATTTCCAGCGGATTTTATTACGAAAAGGATGTCTAAAAGTTTCGCATTGATATGACCAAAATAAACAGTCTTTGCAACTCTTCTAAAAGTTAGCAACTTTTATTTTCATGGTTGTCCACACCCACACTGATTTTGTTGTAGGTATAAATAGTTGTTGAGCCCTAGATACCATTGCGTGTCTATACTGCATCATATGGTTCTAAAATAATGGATATATCTTCGATTTCACTAGGATCTTTATCCGGAGATCTTCAGTTAGGGTTTCACTCGACAAACTTATTTCTGATTCTGATTCAGATGAGCTATCATCTTTGCTTCTCGCACTGCCTAGTATTTATTCTAGTTTTTCCTTTCCCTTTTCAAGTTCTTATTGCTGTGGATTCCCGACTTTTTCTTTTGTGTCTTCCTCAGGGACATTCCTATAGCTCTTAATACTCGATCGACAAACGTCCCAGGTCCTCTGAAAAGAACCAAATTAAAGTTGAGCCCTGAATAATCTCTAAATTGTAGCGAATCGTAGGTAATTGCTAAACCCTGATGTGTGAAGAAATTCTGTGTCTTCTTTTGGCAAGTCGGATTCGAGAGATGTTTCAAGATGATTGTTCTCATTTTTATGCTCTACAACATTGTCATACTTTAGGTCTGTTCTCACAGAAATCACAAACCAGTCAGAGCGAATTTCATGGGTTGAAAATAGTCAGAAAACTGGTTGTTGGCGATTTGCACCAATCAAAAACGCTCTGACTGGTTTGTGATTTGTTTGAGAACAGACCTAATCTTCATCTCATTCTTCTTCTTCAAGTTCTAAACTCTTCGTAATCCGGGGTTCAGTTATTGGCTCAGTTATTGGGAAACTCGTTGGGACATCAAATTCATTCCAAATTGTCTAGCACTTGTTGCCTAAAACGTAGTCTTAAAGGCAAATACACAACTGACCGGTACGCTGTATCATGCATGATAATATGCAATTTCTGGATTAGAATGAGATGATATTCCCAGCGATTACCACATGATTCTCAGCGGTTGCCAATGGATTCCTATGTTATTCCCATGGGGTCCTAGGAGATTCCTAGCGATCCCTAGGTTATTCCCAGGGACTCCCAAGTGATTTCCATGTATTCTTGATTGATTACTATGTGATTTCCAAAAAAATTTACAATGATTTCCACTAGTGGTTTACCCCTCGACATCAGCGTATCTCTACAAAAACATATATTGATGCAGCTTCCATATTTTATCTAGTCACCAGCATTTACGTCTGCTCCTTGCCTACCTTTAGCAAGCTATTAACTGTTGTATCATGACCATATTACTTAGGTGCTATTATTTTTTTATGTCCTTTTACAATGAGGTTTTAGAGATTATTCAACTCTTTTTCTATCCACTTCCTGCTGCTGAATGCAATTTTGTTAAGTTAATTAGTTTAATGTATTTGATTATCTAAAATATGAGATATTAAGTTTGATAGGCATCGTAGCAAAACATTTTTTCCCATTTCATTATTTTGTACAGTAGTGCTTTCCGAAACTAAACACTTATAATGATTTTGTGTGTGTACTTCTTACACAATCCTAGTATTTTTCTTCTGGTAAGACATCACCTTGTTTGTTGAATTTATAGAAATTGTTAGAAAGCCATGCAGTTCTAAAATGTGAATCAATTTATTCAAAAGCAAATTTGTTGTTGGCAAAATTTTCGAAATGGATAGTTTACCATAACCTGTCATGTCAAATGAGATGCCAGTGAGCCAGTATAATAAAATACATATACTGAACTTGGTTGGGTAGCTTTCTTTAAATACTGTCAGGTACGTAATCGTATTCCGATGTTGCATATGCTATCTGGAAATAGTACTTGAGTATTCACAAGGAAATTTGAACTTTGTTCCGCGTTCGAGACTCTAGACAGGTTCTTTAAAATATTATTGCTCTTAACATTTACCTTTACTCGAATAAATAAATATCCAGCTAAGGAATTGATAGTTTTGCACCACTCCATTATACCGAATTTATGTATAACAGTAAAATATAGAGATAAATAATAAAGCAATTTGTTTCACATTGTAAGTAAAGTAGGCAAAAGACAATATTATACAATTGAAATACCTTTTTTGAGGAAGAACAGCCCAAATTTTAAAAAAATCAACCAAAAAAAGTTCGATTTTATATTATCAAGAGTATTAGGTTCTGCAAATGTGTAATTTACCTATTGTAATGATAAAAGTTGGTCATTGTATTATATTAAGTACTACATTTTAAGTTTAGGATAGCTGTAAGTTTAGGTTTATAGTGTGACTTGTCAAAAATATGCAATAATGTATTGTAACTGAATATGTTAATCAAACGATGGTTTTTTTTTTTATTCAGTTTTTTTAAAAATCAATTCCAAAAGGTTATCTGCTAACCACTAAGCCTCCTTTTATTTTATTTCTCCTATCCACCAGAAAAAAGATGCACACGTCCAAATACTTAATAATGTTGAGAGTGTTTGAAATGCATTCATCTTCTACTATTGCATATTTTTCACAATCAAATGTTAACTTTTTGTAATACTTTATTTTTTACGTAATTAATTTCTTTGAAAGAAGCTAACTGACAGTATTTTTCTAGTTTTAGAGTTGTGCCTGGGTCAATTTTGTTGTGGTCAAATATTCTGCGACCTTTTAAAAAGTAGTTAGGTCCGTTAATCTAGCTCGGCTAACCCAGCAGAACGAAAAAATTTCTTAACTAAACTCAAATAAGTTTGACCCTTGGGGTAAACAAAAGCATCTGTTCAATGACATTTTGTAAAATGAAGCTATTGGTTAATAGGCCAGGTACGCCTGTCAATATGGATGTACTCGATCACAAGTGTATAATATAAAAAAAATTCATCAGCTATTTGGACACAAATAATTTTGCCGATGTTTTGAACCATTTCGATCCAGTCTTTGAAGCCTGAATTTTTTCCAAAATATTTTGGGACAAATAAGTCCCTGGTGAATATCTCAAAACAGGTGCTTTTGGGTCACACTCACATAATAGCTTATTTATTATTCAAATGTTTTACCAGATTGCCAAAACTTTTGAATTTCAAATGGAATAAAAAACACTCTATGTATTGTTGTCTATTTGTCTAAAATTTGTTATTCGGAATCTTTTAACGCCACTAGAAATTTTTCGATTTTTTTGGGGTTACTGTGCTAGGTTGATAGAAATCAGGTAGTTGGCTGAATTAACATTGTATAGATAATCTATATTTTAGATATTATTTCATAACAAACAAATGCAAATTAATTATAGGTTCCTATTATTTATTGAAGCTACTTAAATATTTGATCTTGTTTAATTTTATATTTTTATTAGTTTAAGCTTTTTATCCAGAGGTTTTGCCAAATTATTTGTTTAAATTTTTAATACATTAGTTCGATTTATAATTGTATTATTATTATGTATTATACTATGTTTTATAAAAATGGAACGCCAACTTTGTTTTACTTATGCAACATTGATAAATAATCTGGGTTTATTATTGTTTGACTGCCCAATTATCTTATACAGCTGATATGAGATGGATATGTGTCTCTCTCAATTTTGCTGGCAAATACACCGAAATCACTTCCATATCGATGATGGCTAAAATAAATGATATGGATCAGAAATTCTTCTTGATTGTGAGTCCATGTGACAACAAGAAATTTTACTTTTGTCAGTCCTAAGGTTTTTACTAACCCAAATCTAGTTAGAAATGCTTCGGATTTTTCAATTATAAGTTTCATATCTTGAAATTGATTTGTGCTGTAGCTCTTTCGAAATTCTGCCGTTTCAGCTAGTTTAGTGGACAGTCTGTTAATCACAATCTTCAACGATGGTTTTCAAATATGCAATAAGAAATTATTCGGCAATAGTTTTGGATTTTATTGTTATTTGGCACATTTTTCATATCAATGGCTGTAATACTTCGGGGGTTTCTGCAAGAAAGGAGTCTACTGGAGGTGGCACGGTAATATTTGTTCTTGATGATCTGAAAGCAAATGTAGAAATATTTAGTATAGATTATAATGTAGAAAAATGTATAGAATATTTATGTGTTTTTGTATGAGTGATCTTAACTCAATGCTTGTCTGTTTTAGCAATGTACCTATAGGTCTCCTTCAGAGCATTTTGACACCCTTTTGACAAGTCTGGACCATATACTTACTAATCTTGGAATAAATAAAAGGGTTATTTTGGCTGGTGATTTTGATACAAATAATCCAACTACATTGCAGGTGACACAATAGCTGGGTATGGCATGACGCAAACAATAAATGAGGCAACCAGGGAAAATGCTTGTTTGGATGATGTCTTTATGAGTTCAGGCATGGATGTTGATCACTCTCAGGTAATAGATCTTGAATCTTGATATATCTGATCATCTGGGCCAAATTGTTGGTGTTCCTGTTTCTTTAAGCAATGGCTTACCTCAAACAAAAAAGAAATTTAGACCAATTACCCAAAGAGGATTATTCATGTTTTATAATAGTCTTTCTGGAGGAACATGGGATTTTGTTGATTATCGGACGGATAATTTCTTCTAGTAACCCCAGTAGGAACATGTGGGAAATTATTAATAAGAACAGAGGAAACACAAAGCAAAATATTGAGGCTGTAGCCTCAAAGCTTAGCAGAAATGTGTATCTGCTACGCCGTTTTGCAGAAAATGTGTCCCCCATGGTACTAAGAACTGTTTATTTTGCAACTTTTCAGTCACAACTTTCCTATGCTGTACTTGTATGGGGTCATGCCTCAGGTGCTCAGCGTCTGTTTGGATTGCAGAGAAGGGCAGTCAGGGTGGTGAGCGGTTTGGGTTACAGGGATGACTATATGGCCGCTTTCCAACAGCTAGGAATACTTGCCCTGCCTTCTCTATACATTCTAAAAAATTAGCTGTTTTCAACGACGCGCGAAATTTAGCCGCCCCCCCCTGAAAACTTGCGTTTGTGCCAAAAGTCGCATGAAAAAAGTCTACATCGAAAATATGACAAAATGTTATATGATATACCATACAAATATATACAGTGTGTCGCACTTTTCATAAATACACCCCGATATCTCAGTTATTAATAATGCGATTTTATTCAAATTTTGGTGGTGAGTGTATCTTAGAAAAATTAACTATTTGACACAGTAAACATTTTTATTTACCATTGGCGTGCGTGTTGGGGGGTGAAAAAGGGTTGTATTTTTGGGAAAAAGATATAAGGGCTTATTCTAGATAATTTTTTGCATCAGATTAAAATTCAGCATCCCCAAAAACCCCTTACTTCATATGTATTTGCCAAACAGCTTATTAGAGCATGTAAATTAAAATAAATTTATTAATTTTTTTGCTAAAATCATCTCGCAAGATTTTTAAAATATGAATTAAGGGGTTTTTTGGGGACGCTGATTTTTAATCTGATACAAAAAATTATCTAAAATATGCCCTAATATCTTTTTCCCAAAAATACAACCCCTTTTTACCCCCCAACACCGCACGCCAATGGTAAATAAAAATGTTTACTATGTCAAATAGTTCATTTTTCTAACATACAATCACCACCAAAATTTGAATAAAATCGCATCATTACTAACTGAGATATCAGGGTGTATTCATGAAAAGTGGGACACACTGTATAATATGAATCTCGATAATATTGTTGATACTTTTGCTAAAAATCATAATAACCGAAGAATTTTACTGCTTCAGGTTTTAGGTTTCGGTAAGTAGTAGTTTTCCGTTTTCCGCACGCATTTCCGTGCTTAAAGTTACACTTTTTCGCACTCTGTGCGCATAAGGTCTTCATCCGCATTGAGTGCAAAAAAATAAAACTAATTATCAAGCAACAATAAGTGCACCTTGTCGACTTTGACAAATGATGAAAAATGTTTCCTCTGTTTCTATATCATCTACACAAACTGGGTTTGCTTGCGGAAAATTAACACTTTGCGCACTTGTTAGGAAAATAACTATTTTTACTTGGATATGTCTTGCTGTTTTTTTTTTTTTGTATGTTTCAATATACCTAGATAATTGAGGTTATTAAAGTTGATCTTTATCACCTATACCTACTTCTCTGTTTTTTATTACCTCAATATTACCATGCATAGCGTTTTTGATTTAAATTGATTAAAATAGGGTAGGTACCAAAGCAAAGCAATAAAGTAAAATCAAGTGTCCCCCCCTAATTTTTTCTGGCCCAGTCTGGCCCCCCCTAACATAAAACCCTGGCGTCGCCACTGTGCCTATCCCACCAGAAACCGAAGTAATTTAATATGTACCAGGTTACAGGCGACTGAAGAGGTGTCAGAATGACCCTGGCTACTGGGCAATAAGATATTTTAATGTGTTGCCATTGGAAATTAAAGAGCTACCAAATAATAGATTTAAGGACACAATGAAACAAATTTTAACTTTAAATGTGTTTTATTTAAATGAACAATATTTTAAGTATTTCTGTCATAATCAATAGTGTTAATTGTACCTTTCGTATTTTATTTTGTAACTTGATTGTATGTATAGAACCCAGTGCCTTAATGATTTTTTAAATAGATTGTTAAGTGAATGCTTAATGTGCAAATGAATTGTCATTTTGTATTTTATTGTCAATTATTATTGATATGTATGTTATTTTATTTTATTTACCTTGATGTATGTAGGTACATTGCTCTTTTGTGATCTTAACATCAATAAAGAATTTGAATTTTTTTTTTTGTAACAATATTCAATTCCTCGTAGCCTTGCATACCTTTTCTACCAGCCACCTTTTTGTAAATCATGAAATATGATTTTTTACAGTATTTACTTATTAAAGACACCCAAGCAAGAACAAAAAACAACTAAGTTCAGACAATCTCTAGAATGATAAGTTTCCAAAATAAAAATTTTCCCAGAGTAAATTTTGAACAGTAATTATTTTGAAACCACTTTCAATTACTATAATTTTCCTTTATTTAGCACTTGGCTAATATACATTATTTTTTACAATTTCACAAAAAAAACTAATAAAAAAAAACTTAAAACTAAAAAATAAAATAAAGAAACGAGTGTTATACAAATTTGCTCCCTATGCTACACCTATTTAACTGACCTAAATTAAAAATTCAACCTTATGCCAATACATTTCTTATCATTCCCCTATTAAGTGTTTTTTCAATTTTGTTTTGAATAAATTTAATTTTGAAATATTCTTGATATGATCAGGTAAAGAATTAAACACAATCAAGCCCTTGTGGAATACCGCTTTCTCAGTACTTGCTCTATTCTTTTTTGTTACATAAAAATTGTGTTTGCTTCTTGTTGGGTATGTATGTACAGTTTCATTTGTAACAAGTTTCTCTGATAAGTAGTTGGGAGTTAAACGATTTTTTATTTTATAGACAAGTATTAATATCTGATATTGTAAAAATACTTCCACAGATAGCCAGTTTAGTTCCCTTTGCATATTTTTTATGGGTGTATCCCTTTTTGCAGCTAATATAATTCGCATACTCCTATTTTGAAGTTTTTGTAACCTATTATTCAGTTCATTCTTATTGGCAAGATAGAGTATAGATGAACTAAAATAAACAAGATGTGGCAGGACCAATGTATTGAAGACAGCCACCTTCGACCATCGTGACAGGAACGGCGACACTCGCGACAAAAAATTAACGTTTTTGGTTATTTTGTCAATTATACTTATACAATGCATGATCCTTAAAAGTCAGATGATTATCCACAATAAAACCAAGATATTTAGTTTTTTCTACTACCTCTAAAGTAGTGTTTTCCACTTTTATACTCAAGTTACTCAATTTAAATTGTTTTTGAAATGTATCACTCCCTATAAGCATAAATTTTGTTTTTTGTATGTTTAACTTTAATGACATGCTATTAAACCACTTGTGTAGTTGTGCAAGCTCCAAATTAATAGTTTCAGTTAAATGATTCAAATCATTCGAACTGAAACATAATAATGTGTCATCTGCGCACATATGTATTGAACAATTATTATTCTCTTTAACTGCATCATTAATATAAATGAATAACAATGGGCCCAAAGTACTTCCCTGTGGTACGCCGCTGGTATTTGATAGTTCTGAAGATATATGGTTATTTATTTTTGTTACCTGCTTTCTATTATTCAAGTAATCAATAAGCCAGTCCAGTGCTCTATTATTTATGCCAATTTGTTTTAATTTCATTATCAATGTTTCTCTATCTATTGTTTCAAAAGCCCTCTGCAAATCCAGAAACACTGCCCCTATCACATAGTTTTCATCTAAAAGATCTTTCCACTCATAAAGTATATTTTGAATGGCGGATTCGCAACTGTGGTTCTTTCTAAACCCTGATTGATTTACAATTAAGATGTTATTTGCTGAGATAAATTGCATTAGTTGCTTATATACTATTTTTTCCAATATCTTTTCAATAGTTACTAACATATTAATTGGCCTAAACTCCTCGGCACTAATTGTACCTTTTACCTTTTGAATCGGTATTACTGTAGATACTTTCAAGAAAGAGGGTACCTGTCCAATTTCTAGTGACGTATTTATTAGGTTCAAGAGTGGCTTTTCAATATTAATGTAGGTATTCTTTAGAAACTCTGAGGTTATATCATCCGGGCTTCCCTTGTTAGGTAATGAAAATACAATTTCTTTAAGGTCATTATAATCAATTAGATCAAACGTATCTATATAATTTTGTTCTATAGCGTCACTTGCACTCTGTTTCCACTCACCCACTAAGTTATGTTTGTCAATTTTCTTTTTTATATCGTCAATACTCTCAACAAAATACGAGTTTAGATTATCCGCGATTTCTTTTGTATCAACCAAAACACTATCATTAACTTTGAGCTTGCTGATATTAGTTTTCTTTTTCCCAGAAATTAATTGGCTAAGTGTATTCCACATTTGTTTTGGATTATTTTTTGCTAGATCGATTTTATTTTGATAATACTTTTCCCTTTCTACCCTAATTACTGTTACTACTGTATTTCTATTATTGTTGAGGTTTTTTTTCCAAGAGAAAAACTAACTGAGCAAAAAAATTTAATATTGAGAATAGAAAACCAAAACGATAACAACTGGGTAAATGAAATCATTTGTTAACATTCAAATAGTTAAAATTTTCTTGGTAATTTATGGGGTAAACGCAGACACAATTTGATTTTCAACTTAGGACATTGATCGAATAGGTCCCATAAAAAATAAAAATAAAGTATTTTAAAAAATTCTTTTATTTCAACAGCCTTCCATTTTAAAACAAGAAAATAACAAACTAAGTATTTTATTTATTGGGCTAGAAGCTATTTACAAAACGAACCACTTGCTACTACCCCAGGTATAAGTATGTAGCAGTAAGCTATTGCTAAGAGAATTTATACATTTAGCTATAAAGACATAAAGACTCTCCTAGAGAAGATACAGGTGAAAACATAAGTCCATTGAATGCTGAATCAATATTGGGGTAGTAGTGTGTACCTAATTGCTAATAAGTTCAATCACATAATCATCATCATGTATCTTGATTTTCATAAGCTTCTATAAGTAATGACTTGCACCTTCTCACTTTAATATTGATACTTTCTTCTGCAGCTTTTATGGACAATATTTCAACCCTTGCAACAATAATGAAATTCGGATTTTTTAGATCGGGTCCTTTTATAACATCAATTTCATCTCCTGGATAAACTGTTCCGCCTTTCTTAGCAATTTTCTTGCCGTTAACTCTTATTTTGCTCTCGTAAAATAGCGTTTCGATTTTATTTCTAGCTACACCAAGGGCACTTTTCAAAACAGCATCGACACGTAAGGAAGTAACATTTAAGTTCATAAGTTTGGTGTTTTTATCCTGGATTTCGTAGGCGTCTTCTTCATAGGAGTCCGTGTCACTGATAACTTCTTGATTCTTTTTGGGTGTCTTACTTTTTGGTTGAATACTTTGGATGTTGTAGTTTGGAACTTTCAGCAGTATTGAACAAACTGGAAGTTGCAAGTGCAAAGTTCTTATGGATGTAACTTTACTTATGGTTAACAAAGTGTTGGGAACGTAGCAGAACTTCATAAAATGTCTTATCATTTTTGTATTTGGCTGTACGGTATGCTCCGTTTCTTTATAATCTAACTAACTAAACTAAAATAAAAATATAATTTTCAAAACAAAAACAAACCAACATAACCTCAAATTTTGAAACCTTCCGGCTTCCGGCAAGTGAGAGTGACAGGTATGAGAATGAACATTCTATTCAATATGCATCTTTCTTATCATCACTTGGAAGAAAAGGATAGCCATATATTTTCCGTATTCTAGATCTAACTCTACCTATTAATCCCTGGATATTCACTTTTCACGATATAAGTTAGGAAAACCGTTTTTTTTACAGATTTCTGCATTTTTTAGGCTGTGCTCATATCGCCATCTCCTTTTATTAAGTGAAAAAGCTAAAAATACCTTCTCAGAAGGCATTCAAAATAAAAGTAATCTCTATCTGTCAGTGAGAGTGAGACCTGTCAAATCGCGACAGATTGCGCTGCCCGCTGCTTTTAAAAATAATTTGAGCCTTTTTAATCAGATAGACACAAGAAATAATATATTTATCGGTAAAATTTAAACAATTAAAATCAATAATGATGTCGAATATCAAATCTCTAATGGAGGATCTGAAATGCAATAAGTGCTTGATTAATACCAAATGCGTTCAGCAGATTTTCTTGTTCGAATGCGGACACATGATTTGCCAGAGGTGTGAAAAAATGATCGGTAAGTACTTCCACCTTCCGAAATTCAGGAATAGGGTAGTACCACTGATTGTTAGTAGCCTCAACCACATCCCAGGGTAGGTATAGTCTGTACGCTCAAAAACTTAGAGGGAGGACAAATTCTCCTGAAAATGTTTAGTGGCTCATCAAATTTTGTGATAAAATACTTATTTCTTTCACAATTCATAGGTATTTAGGTATTTAAAATGCAACATTTTCATTATAATATACTTTATTATTACTAGTAACATTTTGCATAGGAAAAAAAAAATATTTCGATAAAAAATCATCGCTATCGTCATCAGTGGTCTTCTGTGGTATTAATAATAATAGGGCGTATCTCGTAAATTACGTGTTCCATTTCGTCGTAGGCTGTCGATATAGTTTCCACATATGGTCTAGACTTAAATCACCTTTCTGGTGTCGCTTTAAACAAGGCATGATGGGTAAACTGCAAGGGAAATCTGGTGTACAAGTACAAATTAGGGGAAATCAGGGGAAATCAAGAGGAAATTAAGAGGAAATCAAGAGGAAATCAGAGAAAATCAGATGCAATCAGTAGAAATCAGGGGAAATCTTAAGGATATCAGGGGAAATTTCAAGGAAATCGGGGGAAATCTCAAGGAAATCATAGGAAATCTTAAAGCTGGATTCAGAGCTTCCGTAACGTAAGATTTAAAACTTGAGCGTAAGACTTAAGAAAAATAAACACCATGTAAATCAATGGGACAATTCATAGTGCCACCGTAAGACTTAAGACGTAAGCCGTAAGCCGATGGAATTTGGTTAAATTTCTTTTCAGTTCATAATTAAATGAAAATATAATTTTATAATACATGTATATACCTACTAGAAAAAAACAGTATCAATTTGGTAGATGGACCGCAAAATCGGCGAATGCGGCAGCAGTGAATTACTAGATAAATATGGAAACCTAACCTAAGAATATAATATAATTTCTTATTTCTTAAGTTTTAAGTTAGCTCTGAATTGACTGTCATTTTTTTTCTTAAGTTTTACGGCTAAAGTCTTACGGCTTAAGTCTTAAGTCTTACGTTACGGAAGCTCTGAACGGACCTTAAAGGCAATCAGTAAATCTTTAGATCTAACGCATGCGCAGTTTTCAAAAAAATTAGAAATTGAGGTTATGTTACGTTTTGTTATGTCCATTATCAAAATATAATTATAGGTGCTGAGAATTGTTATCTGTCTATTGAGCTTAATGGCCACTCCCTAATTAAAATAATGAGATTTTTCAACAGCAAGAATATAACTTCAGAATCATTCACACCATAACTCTTCAGTAGCCAAGCTTGTGAAAAGTTGTTTAGGGTTACGAGGTCCATGTCTTCGACATACTCTACAGTAGTCAACTTTTCTATAAAAGACATTCTACATCGAATTGACCGAATTGAAACTGTACACAATATATTAACAGATCTAAATCATGAGTTTGTGTTTCCAAGAGAAAAAAGCTGACAAATTCTCAGGCTGTGAAAGATGGTTTTGAACATATCTCTGATGATGATGTCGAAAAAATTATTATGGAAGCCGTCAGGCGCAATTATAATTATTGATATGGAGGAATTGGGGATTTCAGTTACTGAAACTGTCAAATCTTGTCAATTCCTTCAAGAAATATAGAGGAAAATGTGATGGATCCCCATGAAAATGACTCAGAAAATGGAGACAATGACAATATAATAGATAAAAGACTAGATAATGGAATGCTAGAGAATACTGAAACCTCGACGGAAAGAGTCGTAAATGAATTAGAGATGGAATATGAAAAAGAAAAAAATGCTGCCATTGAAGAAATACGAGCAGATATAGGCAATATTTTAAATTCCGGGTCATTTGGAGAACAACTTGAGTAAAGGATTTTTCCGAGGATACGTGAAACAGCAGAAAGATTTTTCATCGAAAGACAGTTCATTTTTACCGGTTACCTTAAACGATAAACAGTACGTTATTAAAAAATCTTCACTGTGTTGGATGCTTGACGAAGAGGTTGGCAGAATAAGCACGGACCGGCTGAGAAGATTTACCTGTAACACAAAGGCGACAACTCCATCTTCAAAGATCAGACTGACGAAGAGGCCTCCTAAGGTTCCTAACAAACCGAGTAACAAACGCAAGATCCAACTGAACAGCAAACGTGCCAAGACCAAAAAGTTCAAATCTTGGGTCAAATTTGAATCCAAAACCTGAGCTAAAACCCAAGCAATATCTAAAAAGCGTAACATTGCCAACACAAACGATTTCGAGTATTTAATTGAAACTTCAAACTTCAACTGACACACCGTCATCAAGCGACTCGAGTAATAATAATTCTGGTCAACTTTGTGATGATGACAACGTGGACGACATTGATGGTGATAGTCTGAATATTATCCGAGATATTAACTTCAATAATGAAAGCAGTCAAGTGTGCTTCATATGTCAAGACGTTGGGCAATCAGAAACTTGGTACCGATGTACTCATTGCGAGAAGTGGGCACATAGTAAGAGCACGGATGATGACTCACCTACAAATTTTGTTTGTGATTTTTGCGTTTAAGAGCAGAATTTATATTACTCGATAATAAATGTTAACATCATCCATGATTTCCCCTAAAACTGCAATCTGGTGTACAAAAACTGACCTGCGGTCTACCCCTCGAATTATTCTATGGCATATTGAACTGGCAGTCAAAGAATTTCATGACCATATTTAAACCCCGATAACCATAGTTCATAACATATACTTTTTTTTTGCCAGTACAAGCCTGTTTTTCCTTTGCCAGTGGGACAGCCTTTAAATTTAAACCGTCGTTCGGAATTCCATGATTAGAATTATGATTATTTAACCAATTGTTCATTTGTGGAAGAGGAGTTTGGAATTGTTTTAATTTGTCTACTGCGATATAAGGCATTATCTTAAATTTGTATTAGAGAGAGTTCTACAAGTCTTTTCAGAGGACTTTCTTCAAACTACTTTTCAAATAACTCAACGTTCAAACCTACTATTAATGGTAGTCTTTTGAATTTGAAGCTGCAAAAAATACTCGGGAAAATATAGGACTTATTTCCTGCATGTAGAATCATCTATGCGGTTTTCCTTACTGTGGTACCAGTTTTCGTGGAATAACAATATTCGGTTTCATTCTGCCACGCTCTTTTGTCTTGGCACCTTTTTACGCTTATCCATATGCCATCCAGAAAACACATCTCTCGGGAAAGTGGAGTTTCTATTTTTTAAGTTGTTTTTAGAATGGCTCATCTTTCACTAACGACATGCTGTTGCTCAAATAAAGAAATGTCTGTTGTTGGATTTTTATACCTAAACTGCAATGATTGAACTAAAGTTTTTTGATGAAATTTATTTAAAACCCGAAAACATTTCTACAATTATGTACACTAAATCTAATTCTATTTTTACCTATTTTAATAAATCTGACATAAAAAAATTATAACTCATTTTTGACCTTTTTTCCCCTACAAAATGCATGATCTGGCATCCTATGATATCCACCCCTGTTAATATATGAGCTAATTTGCTCCTGATGATGAGATTTATTTTCTAATCTTGAAACATGATTAGGGCTTTTCGAAACTATTAAAGTATTTGTGGATGAAGAGTTTTTCTTTTGGATTAAATTTCATACTCCACTTTGAGATATGGACTATACTTCTTCAATTTAATAATAATTAGTTTTAGAACTATCAACCTATACCGGTACCCTGAAGCAAGTTTTCTTACATTTTCATTCCGTCTTGTTTAGGAAGCACTGGAATTTCGTTATAAATCTTGTTCAAAAACTACGGCAGGCCGAGGCCCTTTATTACTCTACAATTTAGTAAAGCACTCTACAGATATTAATTTTCGACGTAACTAAAAAAATCTAAAATTAGTTTGGAAAAGTACCCACTGATCTTGTGCTAATTCATTGTCAGACCTGCTTCATTCACAATTGATTTTGACCGGTTCATGGCCATGCCGCGTTTTACAACTCTGAGTATCCTGGGTTGCACAGACTTCATATTTAGTCCACTTTAAGCTAGACTTGAAGGCTGAGGTTCTCACTCACCAAGACGACTTGCCAACGTGGTGTTCCATGGCAAAACCCCTCTCAAATAACAGAAAGACAAATGAAAAGGCCCTCAGTCTCCAGCCGTTCGGTTAGCCCTGAACAAGGCAGCGGACAGACCAGCGACCGAACATAGGGTGCTAAGAATCCCTAGAGTTGACCAGGCTGCCAACTATACATCGGAACATATAACGCAAGGACCTTGAAAAATGTAAAAATATTAGAGGAACTAAATTAACAAATTGATACATAGTAGGACTGGCAGAAGTCAGAAGAAGAGGATGAGAAGAATGTCTAAGACTTAAATCAAATCACGTTCTTTTCTACAAAGGTGATGATAATAGCAGTAATGGAGGAGTTGGAATCCTGATATACAAACAAATGGACTCATACCTACAAATACTCGAGAGCTAATCTGACAGGGTAATATACATAACATTGAAAATCAACAAGAATACAACGAAGTCATCTAAATTAACGTACCAACAACCGACCAAAAGATAGAGGAACTTTAGGAAGAGTTAACACAGTGTCTGCACGAGAACAAAACAAAGTATACACTAGTTATGGGAGATTCAAATGCAAAAATAAACCAAGATGACACCGACTCATGTTACATCGGCAAATTTGGACATGGTACCAGAAATGAAACAGGCAACATGCTTATCAACTTCTCAGATAGAGAGCAACTCTTTGCGATGAACACATTATTCAAAAACAAACCTAACAAAAAATAGACATGGGCAAGGCCGGATGGAAAGACAAAAAACGAAATAGACTTTATACGGACGGACACGCCAAAACCACATAATCGAAGATATAGACGTCTTAGGCTCATTCACGACTGGCAGCGATCATAGAATGGTAAGATGAAAAAGCAAAGAAATTCAACTGTCCCCTAAAGAAATTGAGCATATACCAGTAAAATACGACGCAACAAAATTAACACAAAAACTGGAGAAAGACCCCATGAAGATCAATTAAATTAATAAAAGAATAACGAAAACAATAAAAGAAACATCAAAAAATATTAAGACACCGAAGGGTAGGCCAGAAAAATTTAGCAAAGAAACAAAAAAAATGCTGGAGAAGAGAAGAGAAGAGAACTCATAAAACAAGGGAAAAAAGATACACAAGAATAGGTCAGAAGAGATCCCTGAAATAGAAGAGGAAGAAATTGCAAAAGCGCTAAGCCAATTAAACAACGGGAAAACCCCAGGGTCATTATTCTTGAAACAGGGGAGCAGCATTCCCAGGAGAACGAGTGTTCCGTCTTTGTTACTCATATTATCAGTTGCATATTATTGAGAAAGACGGAACACTCGTTCGCCTGGGAACGCTGCTCCCCTGTTTCAAGAATAAGGACCCAGGAAGGAATGGACGATATACTACAAAAAATGCTGAAGGAGACAGGAGAATACCTTGTAAAACAACTGAAAACACTTTTCAATTAATGTCTAACAGAGGGGAAAATACTACACGACTGGGAGACTGCAGACTGCCATCGTCGTTCTGATATACAAAAAAGGAGACCCATCAAATCTTGAAAGCTATAGACCCATAAGCCTCATGTCTCAGGTATGCGAACTTTTATGAGAATAATCACCAGCCGCCTAGAAAGAAAATTTGATAATTACCAACTTTAACAACAAGCAGGCTATAGAAAGAGCTACAGCACTATAAAACATCTTCACCCAATAAGAATTCTAAATGAAAAGAGGATCGGGGCGATAGAAAGAGCTATGAGAAATACACGAATAGATTAGCGATATATAAACATAATCATCAATATTCAAGAAGCAACAAAAATAAAATGAAGAATACATACGAAGTGAAGATTAGAAGAAGCATAAGACAAGGCGATATAAAATCTCCTAGCTGTTCACCCTAGTCCTCGAAGATGTGTTCAAGGAACTACATTGGGATCAATATGTCTAGAGAAAACTTCAAAAATTTAAGATTTGCTGATGACATCGTAATATTCGCCCCGAACGCAACAGACATAGAAATCATGCTGAAAGAATTCCAAGAAGCCAAGAAGATCGGATTAGAAATGAATGTATCAAAAACAGAGTTTATGACAAATGAGCAAACAGATAGGAATACAATATCCATGAAAACCAACTGGTGAAAAAGTAAACTCCTACAAGTATCTAGGATAGGAAATAACACTTGACAAACTGGGATGGGCGGTGTATGGTAAAATGCGCCACATATTCCGGTTCAATTTACCGTTGAAGCTAGAAACTAGTCTACAACGAATGTATTCTGCTAGTAGTTGCACATGGAAGCGAAACATGAAAATCCTAAATAAGCTGCAAGTACCTCAGGGGGCAATCGAAAGGAGAATGATAGGTATGGGATCACAAGACCAACGAGTGTATAATGGCCGTTTCCACCAACCATTTTAGGGAAGCCTTAATGATAAGTATTCCTTAAAATGACATTTTTACATGGGAAAATGTCAGTTTAAGGAATACTTATTGTTAAGGCTTCCTTGAAATGGTTGGTGGAAACGGGCATAAGAAACCCAACAAAGGTCGAAGACATTACACATAAATATGCACCCTCAAATGGAACTGAGCCGGCCTCGTTGTGGGAAACACAAGCAAGAACTGAAGCGGGAAAGTAACAAGATGGAGACCCTGGGAGGAAGGAAGAAGCGTCGGCAGACCTCAACAACGCTGGTACGACGATATTAAGCAAACAGCAGGACTAAACTGGTACCAGGTCGCAGAATAGAAATATCTGGCAAAATCTGAGAGAGAGCCCTATATCCAGAGGAAGAAGCTAGACCTGGGCAGAGGAATCAGAGGAGAGACGTTTTTTGTCCCGGCTCTTAAATTTCAAATATGCCTACCTTAGATATGCCTACACATTTATCTGGGGGCTACGCATCAGATGATTATTATGATATATGATGATCATATTCACTGTTCCCCATTGCCACTGGTGAATAACATAGTCCCAATTTTTCAGAATTGAAAAACAATTTTCGCAAAATTGGGAAAAAGATCATAGAATAAAAGTTCTCTGATAAAATCATTCGAATCGCCCGAAGATTTCCTGGCAATGAATAGTGAAATTTTACCATACAATTTTCTTTAGTAGCCAGCTCTCGAATGGTGTGTCTCATAGCATTATGTTTAGGTTTGAGTCTCAAGGATGCTAAAATATAGGTATACCTACCCTCAGAGCTAGGAAACAATATTCAGACACCGCAATAACGATTATACTTAGGTATATTTGATTATTATCTCTCTCTGTCTCTTTTAAATATTTTTTTGTTGTAGCAGTAATTCCTAAGCTCTAATTCGATTTGAGACGATCTTTATCGTCCTTCACACGTACCTAGCAAAAAAATAATGTTATGTCATTTTCTGGGTTTTACAGTAGCATTAGCTCAAAATCAAGTTTCACATAGTTCCTATATTTAAGTAAATGAAGTATGTTTTCTTTTTTATTTTCAGTGCGACGTCAATTTTGCCATGTTTGTAAAAAAACTGCTAGAATGATGGAACTTCCAAAGGAAAATATGCATCCCATTATGGAGATGATGTTTTGGCCTTTCGATAATGTGGTTACCCAAACTATTAGAGTAAGAAAGTGAAACTTAGCCCCACCACTTTCACATTGTGATAATCATCAGCGGTAAGATGAACACATTTTCAGGTCATGAACTTTAAAATGGCGCAAGAAGCTACGGCTTTGAGAGATTTGATGCAAAATTACAAAGCTGCCAAAGGAAGCGCTGTTACGTACCGTCTCGAACACGAAGCATTGATGGAAGAAGCCCGTACGTTGACAGAAAAACTCATTGTAATTTATCTATGATCTATGATTATTTAAGCAAGAACCAAATAAATTTGATGTCTTAGGCCCAAGGAAAACCTGTTCCATCAGTAAATAATCACCTTGATGACCAAAGCGTTTCCGACGGCTCATCTATTAGATGTGCTGCATCCCTTTGTGGGTCTACTCCAGGAACAGCCCGTACGGATGATCCGAAGGACGTGTCAGGTGAACTTTCAAGAACGGGAAGGATTGTAAGTTGGCGATTTTTGTTTTCAAATTCAAATTCAAAATTCAAAAAAGCTTTATTGTCTAAAATAATATTATTTACTGACAAACCTTACCATCTTATTAATAAAATAGCACTAGCAAAATGATACAATAAACAGAATACATACAATAAACCACCAAGTATATACAAACTAGTCAAATAAATCAGGTTGTCATAATAATTCTAAAGTTAAAATACCTGAAAATAACACTACAATCAACAACAAAGACATTGATGTCATGCAGCAAAATTAAAAAAAAAAACATTCTTCAAAATTGTTCAGTAAAATATTCTGACACATTATAATATGCCCGACTAGAAAGGAACGTTTTTATTTTGTCTCTAAGTCCTTTGAAATTATTTATATCCTTTAATTCATGTGGCAAATGATTACTGATTACTAAAGTTAAGCGATTTATCAACATGTATCCCAAGAAATTTTACATAATATGTCATGGGGTTGAGTGTTATTGTTTCAATTTGAATTTGCTGTAAATCGCATTTGAAAGTTAGAATATTAGTTTTAGTAACATTCACGGCCATTTGCACCGCTATAACATAAGGGATATTTAATCCAAGTGGAGCTTTGAATGTCACTCTTGTGAAAACAAAAGTCACATTCAAAGCTCCACCTTAATTAAATATTCCTTAAGTGATAGCCGTGCAAATGGCCATCAGTGTTAGAGGATTGCTGTCAAACTACTTCTTTATTACTTGCAAATCCTTTTGGATTTTATAATAAAGAGAAGAATTGTTCCAATTACGCCACAGAATGAGTATAATCAGCAAAATATAGTAAATGAACCTGATGTATTGATATTGGTGATATCATTAATATACAGGGGGAACAAGACTGGTCCAAGGACAGAGCCCCGAGGTACACCACAACTGATGTTTTAAACATCTGACATTTTTTCCACCATGGAAACAGTCTGAGTCCTTTCTAACAAATAGGATCTAAACCAGTTAGGGCAACACCTCGAAACCCGTAAACTTCTAGCTTTTGTAGTAGAATTCCGTGACTGAGACAATCAAAAGCCTTGGTCAGGTGGCAGAAAACTGCACCAGCAATATCTCTATTATTAAGGGTTACATATAATCTCTCTTTTATAAAAATAATTAAAATGCTGAGATTGTACTGAAAATAGGCACCTATAGTATTTTTAACCCGAACTAAAACACTAAAAAAACATCTAGTCAGCATACATCAAACAAATAAAGGACATATAGGCGTCACATTATTTTTATTTCTTCAAATGGTAATAATCAATATTAAATAACACAGCTAAATAATACGTGAAATAAAACAGCAAATAATATATAAATTGGGATGACACTGGTTATAGAAATCGCGTAGTCTAGACAGCCAGGCACCTGCATCCTTTCCAGGAAAACCTAAGTAGCCCACTCCAATAATTCAACCTATAGGCACGTGCCGACTTAAATTATTATTTATGAAATTAATAGAAGAGAGCGACGTGATGTTGAGATATCCTCGTATAATGCAGTGTTTCAAGTCACAAAAAAAATATTATACCTGAGAATTATTTTTCCAAGATTTGTCTCGTAAATACCTACTAAAAGCCGAGTAGAGGTGACCATTTCAAAGGACCTGCTCTACCGTTCCTTGATATGTAGTTAATCCTCATTTACAGAAATAATTTCAAGTTCAGTAACATTGTCAAAAAAGATTTTTTAGCGAGTAACCGTTTGTAACCGTGCTATCACGAGCTATAACCGTATGGTTATTACCCTCACCTCCTGCATAGGTTACTGAATTTAATATCGTATTATAAATGCGTGACGTCATTATTTTTACAAACGGTTAGTCGCTAAAAAATCCTTGTAGTTACTAATGAATATCATTTACCTACTTGGTAACCTTATTATTCAACTAATTTCTCCTACGTTATACAGCCTAGCCTGTTATCGAATCCCTGTGCAACTAGGGGTTTGGACTCAGCGACAATTAGACCCTCCGTTAGTTTATCTCAAACACGAACGGTTTCCGGTTCATGAAAGGAAAGCGCTTCTCCGTGTGAGTCCGCACATGTTTCGTCGAATCATGTCGGTAAATGTTGACGGTTCCTTGACTTTTGTGGAAGATGAAGGAGAGAGACTTCTTCGTTAAAACTGAGAGATGTGAGCTGGTGTCTACCGAGTGATGTCACCTCATTTTGAACCTTGAACCATTAGCGCTTGGAGTACTCAAGTACCTAAGTATTTTTGGCAATTTTTTGTTTTGAATGCTTCATTCTCAATCTCAGTCTGGTTACCCTATTTAAATTTATTTGTCCATTAAGTCTACCAACATATTCAGAGGATTCAATAAATTTCTTAAAACATTCGTATTTTCCATTTCGTCGTCGCATGTCGCATAGACTATTTAAAACCACCGCAGCCAAAGCAAGTCACCTACAGAAATTGAAATGTAGATCGGCCAATTCGATAACGAAAAGTAACTATTCATGGGTGTCCATTTGTTAGTCAAATGCACCTTTGCGTTTACAAACACAATATTGAAAACTAGCTTCCTCATATCTTATGAAAACGTTGCTATATGGGGGTTGCGCGACGACTATCTTGACAACATTATCTTTTGTTTTGCTTTTGACCGGTATGAATAATGCAAAGTGACCTTTCTGAACAGAACATTTTGAATATCGTTTCCTTCAACAAAAAGCAATAGTGGAAATAAATAGCATATATACTTCAATCAACTTGTGTGGTCTAAGAATGTCAAAAATATTATTCGAAATCATGCCCATATTGCCAAAAACAGGAGCTAAATATTATAAAATAGTTTTATTTCTTTCTATATTTATCAGGAGAGAAAGTTGAATGAATGAATTGATTTTAGTTCATTTGAAAAAACCCGGATCAATTTATTATCATCCAATGGTTATCCAATCTCGAGATTTTGATTGATAGACCCATAAATAATAAACGATATAGGTCCGTCTCTTCCTGCAAAATGCAAACGTGTCATAAAACAGTCGCTGGTCAAGTAATGGATGACCGGCCGACCGGGAATTTTCTGTTTTCCCGAGGAACTGATCTATCTTTTCCGTTGATGAGGGTCGAACGGAAGGGATATTTAAAATATGCCCTGACCAAATATCGATAGGGTCCCTGTCTTTTAAAATATGATATGATATTTAAAGTTGCTAGAAAAAGGATGAACGTTTATTCTGGAAACTGGCACATTCGGTAAGAATAAAATCCTGTGGATGTGGAGTTTATAGGAAAATAATTTAATGGAACAATCAGCAAACCAAATATCAGATCATCTAGTTAATCCATAAAACATAACGAAAATTCATTCTTGGAACATAATTCTTACCTTACCAATGCAAATTACTAGGTACGCTAGTAAACTAAAATAAGAAAAACTTCCTGGATAGCTTTTACTTTGTTATTTTTTGTGTCGTAATGACATGTTCGTGGTAAATGATTGTCTCCTGAATTATTTATTGATCGGCCATGCTTCGGTTTTATTGAATTATTTATATCAGTTTCTATACCAACCGCACTTTGACCTCATAGGTAATACGTATTGCTTGCTGAATAATTTGTTCTTTATAGGCCGGACATCTTTCCGTTCGAAATGAAATCGAATAATAGATTTTAAATTTTGAAATGTATTCAGAGCGGTTGCAATAATATGTTACTCACTATTAGGGACGGGATTATGCAGACAAACAAAAATATTTAGTGTGTGCACATCGGAATACATTAATGAAATTTTTTCAAAAGTATATGCGGATCATTTGCCAAAATCCTCAAATATGTACTTATATGCAATAATTTAGATTCAGCAATGAAATAGATATCATCTTTCTTCAGGAATATTATGTTTTTACAGAAACAAGGTTTATTTATTATGGATACATTCAAAAAATGGATTTGGGTTTGGAGGAAAATTCCGATATTATATTAAACCAAGCGGCGGAAGTGAGCGCAGATTTATTGCCAGTTAAATTCAGCTCGAGATATGGATACGGATATCATCTTTTCACTGAATGGCAGCAAATAATCAAAATTGTGAGTGACTATATTTTCACTTTCAGTTCATTTTTCCGAGACATTCAAATCTATGAAACCGTCTACTATGAAATCGATTCTTCATGGTAAAGTGTTATTTGGTGTTAGAAGAAAATACTGACGACAAGTATCCAAAAACGATTGTTATTTGATACTTTTCAGTTTATGCGATCGTATGCCAAAAAGTTTTACTATAACCATAGACTTAAATACTACGAATAGACGTCCAGTGGAAATAGCAGCACAAAAAATGCCTCAATAATTCATAAGATGGCGCCACTCGTATTAAAAATTCAAAGAAAACTGTGCTAGCACCCTTGTGTACGAGCAGCGTGTCATTGTTTCCAGGACAACCGCATTCCGCCTTTTTTCTGATGTTTCGGTGTTGTCAAATTTATACGGACAAAAAACTAGACAAGAATTCTCTTTGCTATTTGCGACTTTCGAACAAATAAATTATTGCTTGGATTTCAAAGAACTAATTTTCAAAATCCATTTAAAAAAAAAATCCATTTCAGCTTTCACTAGAAATAGAAAACTTAACAATTTACAAAATAAGTGAAATTTATTTATATTAAAAAAAAATCTTAACATTAACAATTTATTAATTTGCGTATAATATTTAGTATAAGATGCAGTAATAAAAAAAAATTGGTGTCTTAATGTATGGTTTGGCCTATTTCATGATTTTGGACTAGTTATTTTAGAACTATTGGCAACAGCGTAACGCGCGAATTTGAATTATGACAGAAATGCGCGCCATCTCGTATCTAGCATCTAAAATACCAAAGCCTGAATTGAATTTGGAGGCTCGCTTTCGATAGCGAGCCTCCAAATAGCGTCGCAGATTTTTACCATTTGACTGGACGTCTATTCGTAGTATTTAAGTCTATGCTATAACCAATGAAAAATATTAATTCGATTACTAGACGCTTTATGGTAAATACGCAGATCTAGACGCTCAGAACCGTAGATGTTGCGTACAACTATTGAATGCCATAGCATTAAAATCTAATACTATCAATCGTATTTCAAAACTTGCTGCGAAATACCTGAAACTAACAACTCCATAAGAATATACCGCACATCTCGCCGCACATGGACTAAGGCTGTTACCAAATTATTCCTATCGGATTTAAATTCCTCCATCTTAGACGACATTTTCATCATTGGTTTTTTAACGATTCAGCATAGATAAAGAATGAAGGCTTTCACGGCCAGTCAAATCTAGTAAAAAAGTTTTTTCCGGGTCCGTGGTCCATTAGTATTTCTACCTAACGTTTCGTTTACTGCTGCGGTAGACATTTTCACGCACATTACCTCAAACCACTGCGGAGGAAATACGCAATGAAACATCTAGGATTCTACGACTTGCGAAACCTCCAAAGTGCAACCTGACATACGAGGAAAGGAAAGCTATTCGCAGCCTGAATATAGACAAGAATATACTAGTCCTGCCTGCGGATAAAGGAAACGCAACGGTAATCATAACTCACTATGAATCAAAAATTCCCGAACTACTAGACTCCTCCACCTACAGAAAGCTGAAGCACAACCCCACTGTTTCTATATTGCGAAAAACCAATCAACTAGTCCGAGCACTACCGTTGAACTTGGAAAACATAAGGAAACTCATCAGATCTGAGGCCCTACCCCTAGAATATATGGGCTTCCTAAGATTCACAAAACAGGCAACCCTCTCAGGCCCATTGCAAGTGCAATAGATTTGCCCACATACAGCATAGTCAAATACCTCACCACTCTCCTTCAGCCACGGATTGGCCAATCCAGCTCTTATGTTAGAGACTCAACTCATTTCATCAAAAAGATCAGTGACATCACTCTTCTACCAAACGACATTCTGGTTAGTTTTGATGTCGTCTCATTGTTTACTAAGGTACCAGTGAATCAGACCTTAGAGTATCCGAAAGATATTGTTCCGGAGGAAATCAACAACTTATTTTCACCACTGTCTGACGACTACGTACTTTGAATGGGAAAATGGGGAGTCCACTCAGCCCGGTTATCGCCAACTTCTACATAGAACACTTCGAACAAATGGCACTGCGAACGGCCACAAAGAAACCTACTTGTTGGTTTCGCTATGTAGATGATGACACATTTGTTGTTTGGAACCATGGAGAGGCAGAGCTCGAAAACTTCCCTAATTATCTAAACTCAATAGAACCCAGGATACAGTTTACGATGGAAGTTGAGAAGGACGACAAAATTGCATTCCTCGACGTCCTCTTAGAAGGGTAAACTGGGACACAGAGTATAAAGGAAGCCGACGCAAACGGACAGATACCTCAACTAGGAATCCAATCGCCATCCTAGGCAAAAGAGAGGAGTCATTAAAACTCTATCTGACAGGGCAATCCGGATTTGTGAACCCAGATACCTTCAGGACGAGATGCAACACCTAAAATCAGCATTTGCAGGAAATGGGTACTCCAAGCAGGAGATAAATAGAGCAATAAGACCGAAGCAACAGCGCACAAATAACAAGGAACCAGCGCAGGTGGCAGGGAGAGCCTTTCTTCCCTATCGCATAGGACGAGCGCTAGAAAGACACAACGTTAAGCCTATCTACAAGCCCACAAGAACAATTCAGCAAAGTCTAAGATCGGCCAAGGATCCTAGGGCACCTCTTGAAACGGCTAGCGTCTATAGAATTCCCTGCTCCTGTGGATCTGTCTATGTAGGAACAACCGAACGCTAGCTCTATCAACACCAGGATCAAAGAGCACAAAAGAAACTGTCAGCAGGGACAAATAGATAGATCAGCAATCGCCGAACACGTGCTTACAAAAACAAACCATGTTATTCATTTCGACCAGACTCAAGCATTGTATAGAACCAAACATGTTTACACCAGACTCCATAGAGAAGCCATAGAGATACAGAAACACCACAAGAGGGCATGAACCTCAACAAAAGCTGGTTGCCAGTTTTCCGAAAAACAAAGACCCTTCCTTTCCGAGAACGAGACAAAGGAACCTGACTTGATAGAAGAAAGACGCCTGCAAAAAGACCAGCTACCATATCGTCGGTTGGAGTTGAATCGTAAAATAAAAAACAAAGTCAGGGTAGCTTAAGAAAATTGGGTGAACGAACGATGTAAGGAAATCGAAGATAATATGCATAAGAAAATTGAAGAAGCTGCTGCTGTATACAAACCTCGACAGACCGGCAAGATAAGATAATTCTTGATGTCAACGACAAAGTAAAACAATGGTGCAGCTACATCGAAAACCTGTTTCAAGATGAGAGATCGGACATTCCTGAAAAGTATTCAAGAGAAGGACTATACCATTTCCAGAATCATTTCACACTAGTGAAATTTGATTTCAAATTAATGAAAACAAAATTCACATCCGTGAAATGTAATTTCGCTCAAATTTTATACTTGTGAAAATAAATTTTTCACAAACGAAATTTAATTTCACATTCCTGAAAATGCATTTCAAACTAACTCTCATTGATACTCATTTAAATAAAAAGAAAGCTGTGGTTTTGCAAAACGTTAAACTTTGAACTTAAAGTTGAAAGTTTGACGTTTGTCAAAGTTTTCTTTTCTTTTACATATATGTTTATATAGTAGTTCTTGTCAGTTAGCGACGGTATTTCTCCTTTAACTCATAATAAAAATAATTATAAATTATAAAAATGCCACGTCTCGGAAAATATAATAAAATTTCTCCTAACGACAGAGCCAGGGTTTTGAAAGCCTATGAAGATGGAAAAGTTTGGCAAGAATGTGCAGATGCTTTGGGTATAAGCGTACGTACTCCATATGAATGGATAAAAAAGGATCAGGAAGAGAACGCCGAAATCGAGTCTACATTAGTAGAGTATGGGTTGAAGAAAACGCTACCATAACACTTGCAAATTTGGCCGATCGACTGTTTGAACAATTCCACATTCGAGTTTGTGTTAACACGATTAAGAATTGGTTAGATGGAAAATTATTCTCAGTTAAAGTTGTTCGACCACAGGTAGGAAATTTAAATAGCAACGATAATAAAATAAAGAGTAGAGATTACGTGCAAAGAGTTCTGGAGATTAGAGCAAATGGCAGAACACTTATTTGGATCGATGAGTGTAATTTAAATCTCTACTGTCGGCGAAAGGAAGTGATATCAAAAATTGGACACAGAGCCCATATAATTGTTCCTACAAGCAAAGGCAATAACTTGCATTGCATTGGAGCCATGTCTTCAACGCAGATAGTATCAGCGACGAGAGGTTCCTATAATTCTCAAGATTATAGAGCTTAGCTTAGACGCTTTATTCTTGTTTGTAATAATAGAGGTATCAAGCGGCCAACATTTATAATTGACAATGCTCCTGTATTTACACGCAAATCTCGAAACCGTTTTACAACCTGAAGAGGATGTCGAGGCTTTACGTGTTGCTCTATATTCATACCTGCTAAATCCGATTGAACTATTGCGGAGTTCATTCAAATCGAAAGTTAAGAATCTTCTTTGGGAACGAACTCCTGACATTTTGAATTATGTTCGAATAAATAACCAGGCCTTAACCATATCAGAGCATCGAATGCAAATTTTGGAGGGAATAGCAAATGAAGCCATTGGAGGTATTCTGCAGGGGCTTATGTCAATTTGTCGTAAAGTCAATGCGTCGTATACGTCAATTCGCCGTAAAGTCAATTCGTCCTGTACTTCAATTCGTCGTAGCGTTAATTCATCGTATACGTCAATTCGTCATATTGCTAATTCGTTGTACAGGTAATTTGTCGTATACGTCCATTCATCGTATTTCAAGTATAATGGTAATAAATGATGTGATGCATAAGATTCAGTTGCTTTCATGACGATACGGACGGATGTTTGATCAAATTTACCCTAATACGAGCTAGTCGACGTTACTTTACGACAAATTGAAGTATACGACGAATTGAATTTACGACGAATTGACGCATACGACGAATTGACGAATACGACGAATTGACTTAACGGCGAATTGACATATACGAAGAATCGACTTTATGACGAATTGACGTATACGACGAATTGGCTTTACGACAAATTGACGTATACGACGAATTGACTTTATGACGAATTGATGTACGACAGATTGATTTACGACGAATTGACGGTGACCCGTTCTACAGCAACAGCTGCTAGTTTTCGCAAATCACGTAGAAAGATATTGCGCAGCTGTCCTGAGAGAAGAAGACTTAACTGAAGTTTAATTTATTTAAATAATTCATAATTATTAAGGGTCATTTACATTCACCTAACTTAACTTGACGTACGGAAAATAATTAATAGCGAAAAGTTGCTGATCATGTACTATACGTATTTGTTTACATTCACTTAAAAATTATGAAAATTAACGTGACACACGGAAAAGTTGGGCCAACTTCAACTTAGGGAAATCCGTGTGTTAAGTTCTGTTTCTGTGCATATAATTTGACCATATAGACAGTTGAGTCTATGAGTGCGCATGCGTCACATAAGAAAATTAACTTCATTGTGAACACACACCTTCTCAGTTTTGTACGTTAATTATAATTTTCCGTACGTTAAGTGGATGTAAATGACCCTTTATTGTTGTTTTATGATTATGTTATCTAAACTTAGTTGGTTTATTTCATTAGGGTGAAATAAATTGCTTACGTTGTTGATGTTCTTTTTAATTAAAATAATAAATGTTTGAAAAATGAGTATTAATTACGGTTAGTTTGAAATTTATTTTCGGGAATGTGAAATTAAATTTCGTTTGTGAACAATTTATTTTCACAAGTGTGAAATTAGTTTTCGTTACTTTGATATCAATTTTCATTTGGGCGAAATTAGATTTCACGGATATGAATTTAGTTTTCATTAATTTGAAACCAAATTTCACTACTGTGAAATAATGCTGAAATTGGTATAGATATAACTAAGGAAGAAGCCCAACACGCCATTCAGTTATTTAAAAACAGGAAGGCTGCAGGTACAGACAGTGTCTACTCAGAACTTGAAATCCCAGTCCCAAAAAATGAGGAGTCACTGCTCGCAAAAGTGAAGTTTTTCAATATTTACCGATCACGCATCATTTCCTGGCTTACATGAACATTTGTGATGCTTCCGAAGAAAAGCTTTGCAAAAAGATTTGGCGATATTCGCCTTATTAGCTTGATGAGCCACTTTCTCGAAATTTTTTTAAAGATCATCCATAGAAGAGTATACACAAACTGTCCTTCACGGGCGAAACCCAATTTGGTTTTCGTAATGATTTTTGCACAAGAGAGGCCCTGTTTAGCATCCAAGTGTTAGTTCATAGATGTAGAGATGTTTCTGTTCCTGTATACGCATGCTACGTAGACTATGAGAAAGCATTTAACAGGGTACAACATGAGAAGCTCATGAAAATTCTCAAGGATGTAAGCCTAGATGATAGAGACCTCAAGATAATCGCAAATCTCTACTGGAATCAGACTGCACAAATCAAGGTAGACCAACAAATGTCTGACAAAGTAGGAATGGAACGAGGTATCCGGCAGGGTTGGATCCTTTCACCATTACTTCTTAATATTTATTCGAACAAAATATTTGAAAAAGCATTAATAGAAAACTGCACTGAGATAATTTCTATCAACGGCGTGAACATTAACAATCTTCGGTATGCGGACGATACGGTTTTAATCGCTGATTTTCTGGAAGGTTATTGTTCGCGCATAGCTTAATGTCCAAATAATTGTATTCGTATACTTGATTTTTAATTTTAACGCCATACAATTTCAAGCTTTATATGGCACGAGAAGATTCGATGTGCATTCCTGAAATCAGCGCACCAACCAGTTAAGAAAGAGATCCGAACTTGTCAGTTGAGTTTTTCGGATCCCTCAAAACCATCCATTCAAAATTAAATTCAAATCCCGTTATAAAATCAATCTCAAAGTTTTAGAAGATATTTTAATATTTGATTGTGTGATCAAATATCATAGTTATTATTTTTCGGCAAAAATTTAGATGTATCAACGCGTTTACAGTCCCGCGGCTCTTAATATCGAAGGTAAATCGAAATTCAACATCAAACGAACATTATTTTGGTCCACCTCCCCGAATTTTTACCTTGAAAAAATTAAAATTATTGGTCGTAAAATATTAAAAATTCCAATCCAATATATCCGCCATTTTAGCCATCTTTATTCTTTTTCGTTCTTTCCTGCTATTCACAAATCGTCACACGGACAGGGTTCCACGTGACCACCCATACTTTGCGTTGCTGGAGCTCAGTAGGCAAGTGAACATCCTGGTTCCGGTTTTTATGTTTACATTTGAAAATTAGAATTAGGTACTCGCAACGCGATTTTACAACGTTTCGGTTTTAAAGGAAATTTTTGGTAAATTGTAAAACTATAGAAAATGAAAATTTTTCTCAAGCATCTGACGTTTTATTAAACAGCATATTCATGGACGATATTTGTTCAGGAGCCATCACCATAGAAGGCGCGTTACAGTTTCAATAGGATTTTTAAAGTTGGGATGTTTCGAGCTTCGAAAGTGGGCGAGCAACGACTCCAGAATGTTGTCCCATTTACCACCATCCGATTGTCAAGTGCCCGTTACTTTTGAAAATAATGAATCTACTTCTATTAAAGCCCTTGGCCTTCAATGGCATCCGTCTTCAGATACGTTTACCTATTCTTGTAAACCATCTGAAATAACCTGCACCAAAAGAAATATTATATCTACGATAGCAAAAATTTGGGGCCCCTTAGGTTTTTTATCGCCAGTTTATATTATGCAAAAACTTTGATTGTGTAGCATTGGCTGGGACGAAATAGCCCCAGATTCAATTAAAAATCTTTGGATTCAGTTTTGTTACGAATTACCAAACCTTCCAAATATATCTTTTCCGCGACATATATTTTCCAATAATATACAACGCTGCTAACTATTAGGTTGTAGCGATGCATCCGAGCTTGGGTACGCTTGTTGTGTATACATTAGAATTGAACTACCCATTGATCAAATCCAATCATCTTTGGTAATCGGCAAGTCAAGAATAGCCCTGCTTCACACAAAATCAATTCCTAGATTGGAACTTCTTGGAGCCACCCTCTTAGCCGACCTTCTAGATCTAGTAATCCGTATTTATTCTCCCTTAATAGTCATAGATGAAATCCTAGCATTTTCTGATTCTCGAGTAACTCTACATTGGGTAACAGCATCTCCACATAAATAGCAAACGTTTGTAGCGTGTGCCACATTCAGGAGACCATACCTAACGTACCTTGGTACCACATACCTTCTTTAGAAAACCCTGCGGACTGCGCGAGCCGAGGTTTGACCCCTAACAATTTTGTGAACCATCCCCTTTGGTTCAATGGCCCTCCGTGGATTTCGTTGCCCAGAAAGGAATGGAAAATTAGGAAATTTCCAGAGCAAATTTCCGAGGTAACACCCCGCGAAGTCTTTGTGGAAGAAAAACCTACTGTTCTTATAGCTACTACTACTTCGCAAGAAAACTTTTTGGACAAGTTAATCAATTTCTTAATTAACTTTGAAATTAATTGTATTCGTATACTTGATTTTAAATTTTGGCGCCATACAATTTCAAGTTCTATATGGCACGAGAAGATTCGATGCGCATTCCTGAAATCAGCGTGCCAACCAGTTAAGAAAGAGATCCGAACTTGTCAGTTGAGTTTTTGGGAACCCTCAAAACCATCCATTCAGAATTCAATTCAAATCCCGTTATAAAATCAATCTCAAAGTTTTAGAAGATATTTCAACCTATTTTATTTGATTGTGTTCGTCGAAGAATTGGTAGACCATCAGGTGCACCTGCAGGAAATGAAAACGTTGTTGGAAGAACACAAGTAAGTGCCTCCATTTTGTTTTTATATGGCTCGGGTTCAA